GAAAACCTACTAGGAAAAAAAAAAGGAAAGAAAAATATATCAAGGAGAGAAGTCAATGGTCCTCAGGAGGCTTAAGCGCTAGTCTCAGTTTGGCCATCAATTAGCTGAGACAATAGAAGTCACTTATGGTTTTGGGGTCTCATTTTTGCCTCCTATTTAAAAAGTAACTGATTTATAATTTTCTTGACTACTGGAACACCAACACCTACTCCTAGATGAAAATATAGCACAAAACAGATCAAAATTTGAAACATACTCAATTTAGCAACATAATTTCTGCTAAAAATCATGTATTGTTGCTGGGTTCTAGAAAAGTTTCCTTAATTAAGTATAGCCCAAATAAGAAGACAAATGCCTTGTTATTTTAAACTAAAAGGATTTAAGTATATTATATTAAAACAAACAAAAAAATATGTCTCTCCCTGGTGGCGCAACAGGTTAAAGTACCACATTATGAAGCTCTCTGAAGCCACTGCAGTAGGAATTTGATCCCCTACCAGGGAGCTGACTCCACAAGGCACAGCAGACTTCTCCTGTCTCTCCTGCTGCTCCCCTCAACAGTGTATTTCAGTAGATCTGCCTGAATCTGGTGAATCATCTCTAGTGAATCATCCCACCACACCTCTGGCCAGTTCTAAAAGCATAAATAAATAAACTTTTTTTTTTAAGATTTATTTATCTGTGTATACAGAACTGGGGTACAGGCCAGAGGCTTAGGGGTGGCGAGAGGCCTCACCAGAGACAGAGTGGGAGCAGAACAGGCAGATCGACGAAGTACACTGCTGAGGGGAGCAGTGGGCGGGTCAGGAGAGGTCTGCCACACCACATGGTCACCTCCGGGGCAAGCGGGAATCGAACTCATGTGGAAGTGGCTCTAGCTTCTCAGTGCTGTGCTTTAACCCGCTGTGCTACCAGGGAGGGCCAATATACCTTTTTTTAAAAAAATGATCTAATTTTTAGTAATTAGAAGGTGCTTTTTTATGTAAGTTTGCCAGGGGACATAAGGGACAGGGAAAATGTTAGATCATTTCTTTATTGTCTAATTTGGGTAGGGCAGAGACACTAAACTCAGCAAGTAACAAATTGCATAAAACAATTTCATTTTGTTCTTCAGACCTCTAACATTCAAGTCAAAATAGAAGTATTCTTAATGGCCCTCCCTGATGGCGCAGAGGGTTGAAGCACAACACTAGGAAGCTTAAGCCACTTCCACATGAGTTCGATTCCCGCCTGCCCCGGAGGCGACCACATGATGTGGCAGACCTCTCCTGACCCGCCCGCTGCTTCCCTCAGCAGTGTATTTCGTCAATCTGCCTGTTCTGCTCCCCACTCTGTCCCTGGTAAATCCTCTCACTCTCTGCTTCTCTGGCCTGTACCCCAGTTCTGTATGAATAAATAAATCTTAAAAAAAAAAAAAAAGAATACTGCTACTGTCTGTTTAATCTATGAATTCTTAAATGCTACTTAGAAAATCAAGAACATAGTTGGCAGGACAGTTCAACTTGGATGAGGTTGATTTCTGATTGATAATGGCTTAAAATTGCTAATATCTTGAAAATGTCTAACCTAGCCAGTTAAAACTATACATATCAAAGAAAGCTGAAAGAAAACTTAAAATATTAAATGACTTTTCTATTTATCAGTATTTACTAACATAGGACAAAGGAACCACTAGCAATTTAAAAAATAATCTCACAAATTATTCCCTTTAAAATTAGAGTTCCTGAAGCATACTCTGCTGTCTAGTTTCTATCTTATGATATAATTGGTGCAGAGGTAAGTGGAGAAAGGTTCTCTGAATAAAGGCTTGTAAAGGTCTGCCAACAGATTATAGTCCATGTGTGTGACTGGGAAGTTCAAAGTTTTACTGTGATATATGGATCATGTAATGCCAAAAGGTTATATGATCTGATTCCTAAACAAATATTTCAGCATTTGTACATCCAAGGAAAAATTGTTTTCTTCAAAATAAACATCCTTGTTACTGTTCTCTAAAAATATCTAAATTTCATTTCTTTAGCCAATAAAATTTGGAATGATAAATCAGACATGATACTGGGAGCTTTGAAAAATGGGAAACTGAGAAAGCCAGTAAGTAAATATGACCACAAAAGGTACAAACCAACAAATGAAGAGTCACCACACATCAAAACCTACCCCCTTCAGCAGCCCCTCTAAATAAAAGTAAGTTCATTCTAGTTTTTGTTCTGGGAAGGCCATGCATTTCTCATTATGACTGTACTTTCCAAATTGCCTTTTTGTTGTTGTTTCTAAATAAATCCATTTTGTGGAATAATTGGTTGCTTTTTGCTCACAGTCAACAAATCATTTGTATATAATAACAAATGACATTTGAATACTTCTCAAGGTGTTTCCTCATCATGAGATTTTTCCCTTTATAATAATTCATTTTTTTATTCTCTTTCTCTCTTTTTTCACTACATTAGATGATAAGTTCTTTGGGGACAAAGAACTTACTTGTCTTAATAGATTACTTGTCTTAATAGCTCCAGTACTCAGAATATACAGTAATAATACAACTAAAACTGTATATGACATTCACTATGTCTCAGGAAGTAGTCTAAATACACTATACTTACTAAGGTGTTTAATCCTTACAAACCCTTCAGATAGATACCATTTTCATTCTCATTTAACAGATGGGAAACTGGGTTATATTGAGATTCAGTGACTTGTCCAATCCCCAAAGTGGAACAGCCAGAGAAACTTGGCTCCAGAGCCATGCTCTTAACCCCTACACTATACTGCCTAGCACAGTGTCTGGGATATAGACGAAAGCTATTAGATGTTTGCTGAATGATCTCTGTGTGTAAATTATTACTACCATGAAAAGAACATAGTTCCTCACCAGCCAATGGAAATTTCTATTCCAAAGGACAGATTGGCTATAAGTCATGTTTGTTACAGTCCCTAATATTTGCATGCAAACCTCTATTAGGTTACTAGTAAAGCAATAAAAAAAACCAAGGTTCAGTAATTGTCATAAAAACATGATTAAATACCTTCTAGTTCACCAATTTTTTTGGCAAACACTTTCAGTTGCTTTTTCAGTTTCCGGACAGTCTTATCTTGTTTTTCAAGTTGTTCCATCAAATCCTAAAGATCAAAATGAAACATATATTAGAAAGATCAAAATAGGCCCTCTAAAATGCACAGAAGGAAAGCAGACACAAAATTGCAGAAATAGCAATGTTAGTTTTACATAAAAGCTCTAAAAAAGCTCGCTGGTGGAGCCACCACCTGGCTCAAACTGGCAGGCATGGGAAATGTGGCTACAATAAAAGCTAAACGTTAAAATAGCAATGCCATAAAATCCTTTACAGTGTGATAGATAGCAGGATCCCCAGGGACTCTTTTCTGGCAAGCTCCATGTGGGTAAAACAATTAAATTCTCATAAAATGTACTGCTACTCTAGCAGAATATTTTTTTTTTTAAGGGGGAGAGGCAAAATAAATTTTGATGAATTCACAAAAAGTTTTATGGGTAGTCTTAAGGATGACTGAGAACAGGCAAGGGTTTTAGCTGACTCCTGTGTATGTGAGCAGTCTCTATGACTCAATGTCTTTGGAGATGCTAAAATTAGGCTTTTAAGACAGGTCAAGAATTTTGAGAAATAAGTAGTTAAGTTGAAAATATAAGCACAGAGAATTGGACCTAGGACCAAGTGGTAGGAGGCATAAACCAAATGTAAAATCACAGGTGATAACATTTTGCTTATCAGGGGTAAGGGGTAATTCTGAATACTTTATGCAAAAAAATACAAAAACATAAGCAGTGCATTCAAGAGAAGATTATAAAAATCTATGGTAAATGCTTTTCTATTGAACTATGAATTCTCTAAAATGACAGGCATAGTTAAAAGGTCAATATTTAAGACAAAAGTGGACAACACCAGATTCAGAACTTAAAAGGGCAATGAATCATTTTATGTATGGTTGTACAGGTTTTGGAAAGAAAAGCATTTACAAATGCAAATGTTCATTCATTCTCCAATTTTGACAGGGCAGGTTTAGATACGACAGCAATGATTCAAGGAATGGCTGCTAACATTCACAGTGTTCAGCTGTGTATCTTTTGAAAACACATTTTGCTTCCATCACACTGTAAGCCTAGCATTAATAACCAATCAAAGGTGACACATGGACATAGGACACTGACAGAGCTGACACATTGGCTAAAAGACAGTTGTGGAAAGAAATAGTTTCTATGAAAGTTTTTGAAGAGACTTCCTGGGCAGAGGTAAGCAGCAGTGTTCTTTTCAGTCACAAAGAGCTAAAGTAGTGAGGAAAATAACAGAAATGCACTCTGTATGTACATACAATCATCCGTTTGTAAAGTGAAATCCGATATGATTGATACTTCTTAGGGTCATCTGCATATAATTCCTCAAAATACTGAAAAAACAGGCACAATGGATATGTGTGTCTGAGGGAATGCTACCTCAGCAAAATCAATTTTAAAATATTTTGAAACACAAATGATGAAACTACAGACTCCAAAGGCTCTGCTTCGTCCCTGGCCCTTGCTCTCTGACCTTTCTCAGACAGATGATTCTAATAATACTTAATTTACATCTATTTTGCCATGCTCAGAGCAAACAGGCTACTGCCAATACACCATCACCTGGCAGGCCACAGAGAAGTGATAAGACTCCTCAGATAAGGGCGATTTTTCACTTTTCAGATCAGTGCAACCACATTTTTTTCTTTTTGCTGCTGACAGCAGCAGCAAGAGTGGGGAAGATATATAAAATAAAGGTGATGATGATGGCCAACACTGGTACCCTTGTCTGAGGCTGGAATGTCTAATGAGAAACTGTGCACCTTCATTCCCTGAGAGGCAGCATGGGGGAAGGCTTGGGGCATGTGCACCAGGGGAGGGAGCAAGTATCTTTCTGTTTGTGTTGGCAGACAGGTAGGTAGGCAGGTTTGGCAGCACAGTTTCCATGAATACTAAGCCTAAGTCTACTGTTGCTTTAATATTCTGCTCCAGTGTTTCTTAAGGAAATGTGCATTAAGATTAAAGAACTATAAATATTTTGAAAAGGTGCCTCATTCCCTGTACTTATGCTTGAATCTATTCTCCAAATTGGTAGTCAATGTAGTGCCCAAAGCAGCTGCTGACACACAAAAGGCTCACACAACCTACTAATTAGACTCTACCAACTTAGAATTCAGGTATTTACTTTTGAATTAGCTATGAACAACTGCTGAAAAAATTAACTGCAGATAAAGTTACAAGAGAAATGCTTAATCAACCTAATTAAGAAACTCTGGAAATCTGCCACACAGAAGCAGGTTTCACCGTATTTTAAGACAATCATGTATAAGCATGGAATTTGCAGGTTGAACAGTTGTTATATTATTCAGTAATTTTTATAAATTCTTAGGCATCAATACATTGTTAGTTTAATTTAAGCAATGATATATTTGAGCGTAGTAAGAGGACATTAAAGAAATTCTATGATTCAGAAGACCAACTCTCCCCAATTAGCAATACTTGAATCACTTTGGAAAGAGTGTAACAGTGCCCTAACCTCCCTCTCCCATTCCCACAAAAGAGTCTCAAGCAGAAAGCTGCCCTCAGAGGGAGAGACCGGTTGTGAAAAGAATACCTGTGGGTTTTGCTTCTAATTAATATAAAAGATGACATCAGAAAACTATTTTTAATGTAAATGATCATTAATGAAGTTATGGAGGGATAATTGTGTTTGTTGAAACTTCAGAGAAAATACAAACAATTTTATTATAGGTCACTAAACCCTGAATTAATGCAATTCACCATAGCATTTCTCAAAACCAGGTTGATACTATAATATAGATGTATAAAAATGTGAAATTATAACTTTTCAATACTTAATAACATAAGTGTTTGTTAAACTTAGTAAAGAATCTGTAATAAAAATTATTTTGTGACTAAGAAAAAAATATTTTAGAAAATAGTTTCTGTAAAAGAAAGAAAAAGGAAACGTAGTACTCTGTACCAGGATTCAGAATCTAGCAACGGAAAGTATCTATTTATTGTACAGATTCTGTTAAGAAAAATAAGAAATGAACGAACCTCATTCCAGCCCTGTGCCCCTCCTCCCTGATGTGGGCAATCCATCCAATGTCGACTAAAAGGCCCTGAGTGGTTCTGCCACCAGCCTTCTCTGACCATAATGCTAACCCACTTATCTGCTAGGGATGGAGAAACCTTGGTGGCTGCTTGGGGACCAATGGTAAACAAAGCTTATCCCCAGTCTCTGTCATGACAACCATATAACAAACCTTCTGGAACAGCAGAGAAACTGTGCATGGAAGATTTCCAAAACCCAACCACATTTGGTGATTACATTGCAGACCCTCCATGTTAGCTCTGGGAGCGACGAGATGCTCAAGAACCTTTTGTGAGAAATACAAGCTGTGCACAAGCCTTCCCCACTTCAACCAACAGTCATATTTTCCTTATTCTATCAACTAGAGAATAAGAAGATAACAAGGGAGTCTTTCCCAGGCAGAACCAAAAGTGGAGAAAACTAGGACGATCTCCTATGAGCCACCTGCGGCAGATGTGAGGACCCTGGCACCTCTCCTTACCAGGTTTTCGTTGGTCAGCCGGGTGATCTCATGCTGCAGGCTGGCCTCAATGCGGGCCTCTGGGGGCAGCTGCAGGTTCTGGGCCAGCAGCTGCTGTTGCCGGTTGTTCTCCTCCTTCAGGCTCTGTATCTCCCCACGGAGAGCCTCAGCTTCATTCTCATGGCTTCTCTTCTGCGACTGGAGCTGGGATTCCAGAAGCCTGTGGAGAATTCACGAGAGGGGAGTGACATTCGAGTCTCGAACTGGTGGAAGTGAGGCTTGATGCTCATTTTCAAGGTCAGGGAACAGGCTACTCTGTAGCATCTATGCAACTCCTGACTTCATTCAAGTCGAGAAACTCGAACAAGGGCCACAAATGGAAACCAATACTTTCACATTTATGTCTTTCTGGGTTATTGCCCTGCTATAAAAATATAAAGAATACAAAGTTCTCAAAGGTCTTAAGACCTTAAGAATGGGAGACATTTAGATCTTTTGAAAAGTTCATAGGAAATGAGGACCAAAAGAATCAATGGAAAGACATAGCTTTCATCTGATCTACTGTCTTGACAAATGGGCATTTAAGTTGCAAAGACAGTACTCTGGGTTCAAAATAACTGCTCTAGTGAGGGGCAAGATTATAAACTCCAGGTCTAATTAAATATGCATCTAAAAATTTCACAGTTACTAATTTCAGGTAGAGGTTGGAACCAAGGCCCTATTTTTATTTTCTACTCTTATCTCTAAAGAACAGAGAGGCTGGCGTGCTACTGTGAACTATATACAGCTTTTCGCAAATTCAAACAGATATTTCTGAAATTTTATGTACATAAATTTTAAATTTATCGTCTTCTCTCTCCTTATAAGCCTCTGTATCAGTAACAGAATCCTAAGAAGACTTGGTTTTAGAACATAAACATTAACAGGGCCAACATATTAGTTACTGCTTCTCGGAGCATACATATAAGCCAGCTGTGCCTGTAAGTAAGACCAAGGGGTCTGTAGTGAGAATCCCAAGAGAGATATATCATCGTCCATTTACAGTGAACCCACAATTCTACATTCACCCCCTTTCCAAACACAAAACAAAGTTATGGTTAGGAATTAACATGATAAAGGGAAAGATGCTTATTCTAATCCTATTGGTAATCAAATGCCACTGTAAGCAAACTTATGATCAGACTAAAAATATTCAGTGATTACAAAATTTCCAAAGAATCTGAACCAATAACAGCACAAAATAAATGACAATGGTTTATGATGAAAACAGAGTAAGCAGAAGCCCCCTGAACAAACAGCATATTAAGTATTTTTAAATTTTAATCACTAAATGGTATATTTACAAGATTTTAAAGATAATTAGCGGAGCATCTGTAGAAAGGTGTTGTTTCAAGTTTGCTGTTTCCTAACTATATTTAACATATTGAATTTGGGTAATTATTTTGAACTATAGAAATGTATGAAACCCTCTGGATTTGCTGTTTTACAAATTTGGATTTCACAATAACCACCTAGAATGCAAAGCTATGTACTTAATAATTCTGTTGGCAGCATGATAAGAATACATAAAAATGCTGTCACATTGCCACAGGCACATCCATCCTAAGGATTGATCCTTATTTCAAACAAGAAACCACTATTTAAACAGTAGGTATTAGTCTTTCAGTAGTTTGATGTCGAGTTGAAAGGTTTTGTTCTTTTTCCAAATCAGACAGAAATACAAGTCTTCACTCGCAAGTGAAGTGCTCACTCACAAGTGTCTGAGAGAACAGACACTGAGGTATAGCATACTTCACTAAAGCACCTTGTATTTACCATCTAGGCCTTTTAGCTTTAATAACATCTGTCCATGGAGAAGGGTTTTAAGATGGTGCCCAGCTGAAGGTTCTAAAAACTAATTTACCCAGGAATAATGCATGCACAGAAATAGAGAAGTTAAAGTCAGGAAGCCACTGTTAGTAAGATAAGCAACAAACTAATAGCATTCCATTGTGAGGAGACAAATATAACCTGTTGGCTTGTTTTAACCCTTCATAAACCAGCCACAGCTCTCCATCCTCATTCAACTCATGGCAATCCATAGCAGATGATCTTCCATGCAAAAGAAACAACAATGCAAAACACAAAGGGATACAGGATGGTAATGAGATGATGATGTCAAGAGCAGCACATGGTATTTCAATATTTTATTTAGTCACTAAGACTGTTTTTTATTAAGTACAGATGACTTTAAGACAGTAACACAATAATTATTTTAGGTTATTTTCTTTAAAGGGTAACATGTAACCTGATATACAAATGGGTAGAAATTAGAACAAAAGCTACTTTACCTGCAAAATAAGAAATGACTAAAAAGGTAAGAAAAAGGTCCTGTTTTAATTCATTTAGCAGAGTAATTTTATGTGCCACATATTAGAGACTAACCACAAAGGTTACCTACATATAGAATGAAAGCTTCAGTTATTTTCTTTATATGGCAATTGTCATCACAATCCATTTCAAAATGAAGTTTTAAGTCTTCTGGGTAGGAACTAGGAACTTGTTTTAAGTAAATAAAATCTGATTTCCTATATTAAGAATTGCTTCCAAAAATTTTAAAGGAGCAACTTACAAAAAGAATATGCTTAAAGTTCTTATTACATGACTTTTAAAAGCATTTTTTTGAATAAAAATGTAAAGACCTGGAGAAACTGCTTTTATATTAAAGACATGATACATGTTAGTAAATGTATATATAATTCATAAATAACATTGGCAAAGTTGATTACAGTTTTTAATCCCTACGGTATAAAGATAGCTGTGGGCATTTGCTAGGTGTCAGATATTGTTCCATATGCTTTTGCATGTATTATTTCATTAACTCAATCAGTAACCCAGAAGGTCATTTTCCATGCTGCAGAGGAAGTGAGGTATCTGTTGCACCACCACAGCAGTGGAGCCCAGAGCTATATGCCTCCAGGATCCAGGTCAGTCCCACTACACTCTGGTGTTCACATAAAAGAAATACGAAGGCACGCCCTTCTATTTCCACCTATCATTTCTCCTTTAAGAATTGATTTGTTTGCATTGTCTCTATTGTATATCTCAGCCTACATATCTCTTGTGTTCCAGACCTACCTTTTCAACTGGCTAATAGATTTCTCTCCTTGGATGTGTTCCTAGATCCATTGATTCAGTATTTGTAAATCCACTATCTCCACCCTGCAATTCCCTAAAGACCAGACTGATCATGAAATGGCATCACCACATAGCATCCACAGCTGACAAGTGAAAAGTCACCCTTCATGATTCCCTATCTCTCATCCACTTGCCCAGCAAAGCATAAGGTTTACTGACCTCATCTTCTTATGTACCTTTCAAAGTGTCCCATTTTTCTTAATCCAACAGCCAATCAAGTCCAGATCACCAAAATCAGTCACTGAACGGTGGTAATGACCTATTTTGGATTTCAACTTGTTCTTTGACAATCTATTCTTTAACATTACAGCCAGGGCTAGTCTCCTAAAACTCAAATCTCTTCATATCATCCTCCTACTTACTTAAAAGTTTTTAACAGTTTCCACTGTCACTGGGGTTAAGTCCAAATCCTCTTGGCTGTTCCCCAACAGCAGATAAACTTTGACAGTAAGGACTGCACTGACCTTGCTTACTGCTATAGTCCCAGGGCCTCACATGAAGAAGGCATGAAATACATATCCGGAGAGCAGACGGATGAATAGCATGGCACTGCTTTATCTAACATTCTTAGAAGATAAGCTTATCATTTATATTCATAAGTTAAAATCTAAGTTTAGCTAAATACTTTTATAATCATTCCTACCACTGCTCCTAAAATAGACGAGTACCTCACAATATGCATAGCAATATTCTTTAGTTTGAGAAGTATTTCTGTACAATAAAGCTGATACAGAATATCAGACCAAGAATGCACATTATCTCCAGAATTATCTTTCCCTGTGATCATCACTGGCTATGCCATTTTGGGCATGTATTCTTTTAAGTTCAGAGCTCAATACTAAGATACTGTTGGGAAGTAGGAAGGTGGAAGTAATTCCAAATAGGAGCCTTCCATCTGTGGTAATCTTGGCTACAGGAGAAAATTTACTGAAACTTTAGTCACTTAGTGACTGCAAATCCTGTTCTTTCAGTCAGTCCACCAAAGGCTCATAAGTTGTAGTGACTGAAGGGCCATCTGCAACTACATTCATGTTTAGGGTAAATGCATTAATATAGAGTTAGATTTTTCTCAAAACACCTTAGAAATGTGACAATGATTTGGTCTCAAAATTCTATGGTTCCATCCTAGAAGTCATTTTTTAGAACCGTACACGCAACACTGATGTGGACTCCAGATACTTCATCACTTCTCTTCACACTAAGTTTCAATTATGAAAACTGCAGTATAATCATCTTCAATATCAAATGTGAGTAACAACTCAAGATAGTCCAATAGTAAGCACAAAATTTTCTTAAGGAAACCTCTCAAGGCTAAGACCTTAAATAGAAAAATAGACTGAATGTAAAAGATCATTTCCTTTGGCATGTATCATCAATAATGCTACCTTAACTTATAAATAAGACTTTAACTGGGACTATGTCAGGGATCTTGAATTTCCTTTGAAGATCAGTTGACGTCTAATAAAGCAATGCACAAACATTTTGACTTACTATATAAGTTGACTAAAGACTAAATGTACGTAGAATTTAACCAAAATGAACTAAAAAAATCAACTTACCTGTTTGTTTCTTTCAAACCAATGTATGCTTGTGCTATTTCACCTTTATCTTTCATTTTTTGTACATCTTCCAGAAGTATTGTGGAATCTGTCATTGTATTCTGATGGAAGAAATGACACATTTCCACAGTAAGATTTAGCTGAAAAGCTTTGGAACACATAAGAAATATTTCTTTCCCCTAGAACTTCTTTCCTCTACTATACGTCTGCCCAACAGAGTGAGTTCTAGCCTCAACTTAACTACAGAGGGGAGAGGTGCACAGTAGCTGAAAAAAGGCCCTTTCATTCCCTGTTGAGAATCCCTAATGCTCTGCTACAAAAGGAGTCAGATGTTAGATGCTTCTCCACTGGAAATAAAATCACTGAGCAGTTATGTGTGTTTACATTATGTGAAATGTATACTTTTTTTTTTTAAAGATTTATTTATTCATACAGAACTGGGGTAAAGGCCAGAGATGTGGAGGGTGAGAGGATTCACCAGAGACAGAGTGGGGAGCAGAACAGGCAGGCTGATGAAGTACACTGCTGAGGGGAGCAGCGGGTGGGCCAGGAGAGGTCTGCCACACCATGTGGTTACCTCCGGGGGTGGGCAGACAGGGATCGAACTCATGCGGAAGTGGCTTTAGTTTCTTAGTGCTGTGCTTTAACCCGCTGCGCCACCAGGGAAGGCCAAAATGTATACTTTTTAATATAGAAAGTAATAACAGTCTATATAGCACAAGAGCAGTAACTAGGCAAGAACAGCAAATAATTATTTAATATAATGCTATTCTTTTTATTACTTCTAATCAGTAATAACAAAATAAATGCTCAAGAAAACACAAAGTTAGAGATAAAGCTCATTTTTCCAATAAAAACTTGGTATAAAAAAAGGTGTTGTTCTGATCATATGCCTCAGCAAAACTGAGTTTTTTTCTCACATCTTCATACATATGTGTGTGTGGTATATATATATATATATATATACATATATATATATGAGAATAATTTAATTCCTTGTAAATATCTACCATCTGCTGTTATTCAATTCTTTCTTCCTGTTACAGCACATCATTGTATATGAGCTTTGAAATAAACATCTGGCAGGTCAGAATTACCAATGACTCTGTATAGAGAGGATTTTTCTGCTAACATTTTAACTTCCTTTTCTATTTTTCTTTTTTTGTCTAATCTGATTGACAACCAATGCAATGTGAAAACCTCTCTATATCTCTAAAACCAAGACAAGAACAAACAATAAGAACTAATGACCTCATTTTATTTATCTAAATAGACAAATCCTTTAGTCAATGTTTGCTTTAAAACCAGGTATTAATAATAAGTGGAGTTAACAGAACACACTTCAATACTATGATACTTGGGACCAGTTCTAAGATAACTATAATGTCAAATGGAAGCCTGTAAATATTTGTTTTTAAATTTCAATGTTTTACAGAAATATCCTTTTAAAAAATCCAAGTTTTTTCCTAATGCTGACTTTTTGTGAGTTTATAAACATTTTCTTAGAAAATAACAAATATAGTTTGAAAAAGCTATTAACAAGAGCTTTTACATTTTACTGAGTATTAGGATCTTTCCCATAATCACCACAAACAACATCTTTAGTTATGTTTCATAAAAACCAGGTACATGTTTTATAAAATAATTCTTTCTCTTTTCCTAAAAGGTAGAAAGGTAGAAACATCTTTCTGTTCTATAAAGGGCCATATTTAGATTTTTAAGTTTTAAGCAACATATTTCAAAGATACAGCTTCTGTATTAAATAAAGCTACAAATATTCTAGATACAGCTTCTGTATTAAATAAAGCTACAAATATTCTTTGTTATCTGAAGGTTCACATGGTCTGGTTTTGAACCTTCAGTAAATTAATTAATTTGATCTAATTAAATTATTTAGAATTATACACTTGTCAGCAAACTGTGTCCTTTCTTCATCAGGCCTATCTTTAGGCCTGGGAGATGGAATTAAATGTAGACCACTGGTCTTGAGGATGATCTACTCAATGCTCAAAGTTTTGAAGGGTGTGCTCAGTTTCTCCTCACCAAACTCAGCCTGGTAGAATTGAATGTTTTGAAAATATTCCAAATTTAGGGTTCCCCTCCCCTGACGTAGTCAGAGAGCTGACTATGCATTAGTCCTGAAGACCTCTCTGTGATCCAGACTGAGCCTACTACATCTACTATGTTCCTACTGACTTCCCCAATAAGAACATGTGTAAATATCAAGATGGGCTCGATGGGTAGAAAGCATAGATTATTTATATTGGGGTTACTTAAAAACTAAAACTAGGGTTAAATAGATTTACTAAAATTTTTATAATTACCTTGTCATCCTGAAAATCACAAGCCAGCAAGCACAAAAAAACAAATGAGGAAAACAATAAATCCTTAGTCCCATAAATTCCATCATGAGTCACCATCACAACAGATAAAAGCTAACTATAAAAACAACCATAAATCATTTCTCATAAAACTAACTCTATAAGTAAATTAATATTCACAGAATTGATGTGAGGTGGACATTAATAGAGTTATGTGGCGGCAACTCAATTCTCAGACACAACTGATTCAAGTTCTCTTTGAGTTGTTTTGGTTTTTCTAATTGTAGAGTACATAAGTATATGAGAGCTTCCCATAAAATAAAATTCTTATCCTAGGTCTTATCTATGGCCTGGAGGAGCTTATTGTCCAAGGGAAGCACTTATGGAGATGGAGCAGATAAATTGGACCTGAGGGGCCATATCAGCACCTTTCTCACTAAGGGTTACCACTTGTCTGGAAAGGGAGTTCTGAGCTGATGCACATCTGACCAGAAACTGAGTGGGGCAAACAGGGTGGGGTATTAGAAAGCCTCAAGCTGTGTCACAGGCATTTTTTCTTGAGAAGGATAAGCCTCTGCTATGTGTCCGCTGGGAACTTGGAGAGAAGGGACCTAGCTTGGGTAAGCCTACTAAAGGCTGGAGGCCAGTTGTCTGGAGTCTTTAAGCCAGATTGTTTTTATGCCCCTTGGTTCATTTTTCTTTTCCTAGCTTTTACCTTTCACTGAAGTTTCTTGTGAGAATGCCATTTTGTCACACGGGAAACTGAGAAAGGAATCTTGACTATTAGACTCTGCTCCAGCTGACATGCAGAGGGGGCCTTGTTTCTCAAGGTCCAACCATGGGAATTAAACTCAGTTAGAAACTGGGATATATATATTATATATATATATATATAATATATATATATATATAGTGAGCTTGGAGAGAGAGTCCCCTTCTGGAATGCTCTTTAATTCAAAGTTATGGGGTTTATGGTTCATTTTAAAATTGAAAGCACATTTCCTTATATAACTCTACTTGTTACTGGGATTTTGTCCCTAAGATTATTTTTTGTCAGAGATCATACTTTCAGAATTTGTTATTTCCTGGATCAGCGTTGCTCCCAGGTATGAGATGTTTTTATCAAACCCAAACACAGGTGCCAGGTTTAATATCATAGCAATATGCAGAAAAACCATCTCCAGAAGTACCCTCAGGTTATGCAGACACTCAGTGAATTAGATATCAAAACTAATTTTTATACGGCATGTTATACAATTGGGATACTCTACTGCCTCGATTGCTTGGTGACACTTTGTAGCACGAACATGGGCACAGGTAAGGAGCAGATTTTCATTTTTGTCTGATAGCAAGTGAAAAAGAGGGGCATTTCTTATAGCACATGGCAGCACTGAGTCTCAAATTAATTGAGAGCAGGGAAGAAGTGCAAAGTGCTCTAAATCTCCAGTGCAGTCCTTTTTGCTGGATCACTAAATTCAGTCACTCTTAGCTCTCCATCCTCTAGACAGAACCCCCTAGAGAGAACAGAAATCATTTCCACGTAGCTTCTACTTGCTGACCTCGTTCTTAACCTTTTCATGTGATTCCTTTCCAGCTAAACAGGTTACTTCTAACAAATACTTTTAAAGTCATATTTAATGCTTCCTCATCACAAAAGTATTTATGGATTTTTATATTTAATGAAATATTTTTTATTTCTTAACTATTTCTTATTGCAGTTATTTCTTAACTGACAGATAACATTATATTAGTTTCAGTGTACAACATGATGATTCGATACTTGCATATATTGTAAGATAATCACCAAAATGAATTTAGTTAAATCTATTCCTGTACATATATATTTTTTGAACTTTTGGACAAAATTTGTGTGTCCAGGTTACAACAAGAAGATTAATTTTAAAATTCCTTTGGCTCACAAGTGAGAGCTGAAACGCTGAGGATAATTCGGGATGTCACTTGTTTTTTACTCCAATTGACATTTGCAACTGGATTAAAACAACATGAGATTTTAAAAGAGACTAGCTTTAGAAGAAATAATACTTTCAATCAGACTAAAAATATTTGCTTCATTATAAACTGGAAGAAAAGATTAGGAGAAATTAGAAGCTAGTCACCAAACATTTGCATAAGCCACTGTGTTCTTACCTTAGGTTGAATGGCTTCTTTCTGGCTCACCAGCTGAGACCTCAAGATGAGGACTTCCTCCTTGCGGACATCAAGCTCCTCACTCACAGAGGTAAGCTGCTCCATGAGGACACGGTAGGCTGGCGCACCTGGAGCGGTCACCTCTGGAGCACTTTTCTCACTAAGGGCCTTGCGTAACTCATTTAGCTCATTTTTTAGTTTTTTGTTTTCTGATTCTAGTTCTTGACGCTATATGAACAGACAAAGAAAAGTACATTGCTTTCATCCTCAATTTTACATTGGAATTTGCTTCTTCCCCAAAGATGGTAGAATTCTGCTGGAAAAAAAGTATCAGAGCTACCCTAGTGAATGGCTTCTCAGGTTCTATTGCAAATTATGGAAGTTTGACATCAAGGAGACTTGAGCAAAATAAATGGTGGTTTGTTTCATCAATTCAAATTCCAGAGTCAAATTTACTCCAGGTCTGCCCAGGTATGTCCATGGTCTGGAGAGACTGTTCAGTTAGATTTAAGGGATGGGCTTAGTCCAATATGAAGAATCCCAGGTTTAGATTGTGAGGAAATAAATAAGGAACAAGCAGTACGTCAGCAGAGGCTGATCAGCAGTGGCTCCTGAAACTGTGAATAGGGTGCTTTATTTCCTTTGTAAAGCGTAATGGAAAGATCACTGAAATCTTAGACTTTTAATGTTTAATTAAAAAAACTGTCATATAATTTAAACTAATACAATTCCTATTAGTGTTTCAATGACAATATCTTTGTTAAACTTTTCCTACGAGGCACACTTGTCACACAGCTTGGGAGCTGGGAAAAGAGGACAGGTCACCTCTTCCTTAAGCCATCAGATGGACGCATACACCCTTTATCTGCCTTACGTTCACATACAAACATACTTCTCATACCACCAATTAATGGCAATGAAAATTCAGAACAGAATTGACACTAACTCAATTTACTAAAATACACATGTTATAGGATATTGCTTGGGGAAAAAGTGAATTGGATAGAGAACTAAAAAATACTGTGCTGTCTTAGTACATGATGAAGGCTTTAAAATAGTGGAAATAAGATATTTTTCTGCATAAAGAGAAAAAAATTCTTTTTTCTAAAAAAGTAAATTTTAGGTCCATAGCGCCATATCAGACATAAAACTACTGATCAAGTCCCCCCTATTTTATGAATATATAACACTTTCTTTTATGAATTAATCCATTCTTATGTAAAAATTAATGTTCTTTCCTACCCCCAGTTTCCTACCAACTGGTAATCAGGGTTATGGTGCTCCTTTCTACAATTAAAAAAACATGAATATTTTTATTTTGCCACCTAGCCTGTGATGCAGTTTCCCAAACCATAATTACATTAGAATAATCTGGAGAACAGACTAGCCATGCCACAAGAGATTGTGATTCAGTAGGGCTGGTATAAGATCCACAAATCTGTATTTCCAGTTACCAGGTGATGTTGATACTGGTGGTCCAGGGACCACACATTGAGCAGTAACTTTGTAATTTGGGATTCATTTTTAACACAATACAGAGAATACCTGTCTGCTGTTGTGTGAGGCAGGCACCAGAAAGCAATCTGGAGACTAGGCAAACCCCTACCCCTATTTCTTTGGCCTGTCCAATCCCACCCTATTCAAATTCTTTTCTTGCTCCATCTGTAGGATGAATTCATCTTCTAGGCAGAGTATAAAAGATAATAGAGAAGCGAGACTAACTGAGATGTTCTTTGTTATTCCTTTACTTTTTCTACAAATATTACACAAGTAGTACTTTCACTGAAGGAGCAAAAGATTTATTTGTGTTGTAACTTAGAAAAGATAAGAGCCTTTTAGGACATTTTAAAAACTGTATTTCCTGTTAAAAACTAGTTTTTAGAAAAGGTGATAAGAACCTAGGGTATTTAGAAAGTTTCCTATGGCCCAGGTAACTCCACTCAATGTCAGATTACACCATCTGAGAGTAATCTCTTAACTTTTCTAAGCCTCAATTTATAAATGTTTAAAAAGGAAACAAAAATTTATCTCAGAAGTTGTGATAATGACTAAATAAGACAAAGAAATATTTTTATTATCTTTTATTAAATAGCAGTGGAAAAGTTCTAGTTCTCTTCATGTGAAGAAGGTAATAAGAAAAAATTGTGACTTTGGGCATGGTAAGGAACAGGCAATCTTTTTACAATGATGCCATATATTCTGGGTAAGAACCAGAAATCAGCAGCTTGGACCATAGGAAGTTACAAAATCACAGAGGATAAGGTCCTATTAACATGTGTATTTTATGTTCCAAATCAGTTATTGGGAAATAATATCTCAGAACTAGACTTCAAGTAATGTTGCGGAAAAAAAAAAAGCTCCTTCATGGTAATTTGGCAGCCTGAGGAATTCTTGAAATTCTCATATATACTTAAAACCTTGGCTATTTCTGTGGTGCTTCTAATTTTTAGTAACTATAATTTTCCAGCCAATCTAGACTATAATTTATAAAAGTAGAAAATTAAAAAATTGACAAAAAGGAATATTAAAGAACAAGAAATTTAACACAAACAGCAACCTAGAATACTTTGAAGCTGGAGGTATCTTGAGAGCAGACAGCCTGATAGCTCAGACTTTACAGAGTTCAAGATTTTGATACTGGAAAGTGGAGGAGAGTTTAAGTGGCACACAAACTACTGTGTTATCAAGGAATGGGCTGTTTTATCTTTTTTCTAATATCAACACTTGCATTACCCAAGATGCTTTGTTTTTCAGGAACTATTTTTCCTGGAATAATCCTACTCCCATGCTCAACTAATCTGGAATACACAGTGGCATGACACTGCCTCCCACCACTAAAAAGACAATTATACCCCTCCAACCACACATTTTTAAAAAGTAGGTAGAATATGTCTCTACTCTGCAAACTACTACTGAGTTACAGTTCTCTACAAATACACGATTAGATGGGGTTTGGTGGAGGGAAGAGAGGAATCAGAGATACTGATGTTCAAATTGATTGTTCCTGCTAGCTTCCAGTGGGGTGATCAGGGAAGATCTTACTTCATACTTAGCCTCAATTTCCTCACTTTTAGACAGTGAAAAATATTTAATTGCAGGATTGTTTAAGAATTAGAACTGATACATAAAGTACCAACACTTAAAAATGATGGTAACAAAGATAGTAATAGACATCTGTAGGGTACTTACAAAGCTCTGGGCTCTACTCTAAGCAGTTGGCATGAGTTCCTTTATGAAAAGCCTAAAAGTACTTTCACTTTTATAGAAGAGAAACTGAAGCACTGGTAGGATATGTAATTTGAACAACTACCTAAACACCGGAGCTGGCATTTGAACCCAAGCCATCCATATCCTTTATCACCTTTTACAACCTCATATGGCAGCAACCGCTTTTGCTTCTGTTGAGACTAATGTCTAGCTTATATGAAATACAATGTATTAAAGAAAACAACAAAAAGGTTAAAAGTAATGCCTAAATAAGGCAGTAGCAAGGGCCTCTTGCAGTCCTATAAGAATGCTCTCCTAGAAATAAGAAAGGCTTTGAGCAGGTCGTTTGTGAAAACAAGACATTTGGATTTTGTCAGAAACTTCACATTACCTTGAGTGACTCATATTCCAGTTCTGCACCTCTAATTTGCGGTCGTTCTTCTTCCTAGAGAATACATATAAAATTAAAAGCTTTATAAATAGTTGTCCTTTTTTTTTTTTTTTTTGAGGTTCCTCCTTGATAGTGCAGGAGTTAAAGTTTCAGCACTATCAAGCTATCACCAGCCACTGCAGCATGAGCTCGATCCCCCACAAGGGAGCTGACCCACACAGCACGGCAGACCTCTCCTGTCTCACTGCTGTTCTGTCAGCAGTGTATTTCAGTAGATCCAGCTATTCTGTTGCCCTTTCACACCTCTGGTGAATCCTCTCTCCCAATCCAACCCCCGTACCTCTGGCTTAGACCCTACTTCTTATATACATAAATAAAACAAATTTTTTTAAAAGTTTAGAAGTTTCTGCATTGGTCCTGGAGTTTCCTGAGGCTGAGGGTGGAAAAGCAGCAAGTACCTGTGCCTTGCTGCGGAGCACCTGCTCTTCCTTGTGATCCAGCTCATCTTGCATCAACTGCTTCTCCTGTTCCAGCTCTTTGACTCGTTTCTGGAGCTTGAGGAACAATGACATGTCGAGAGGTACCTTTCTCTCACTTGGCTCCTAAACCCCAGAAATCATAAGATGGCCATGATGATCCAAAATATATGTAAGTCAATAAAAAATTTTAGAAGAAGAAATATAAATAGCCAAAGTATATGTGACTTTTAAATAAATTTAGTACGTGTTACAAAATCTAGATGGTCATCACTGGCTATTCTGGAGAATGAATTTCGTTTGGATAATGAGGGCACATTTCGTTTTCGACTTTATACATTTTTATGTTAGAATTGCTTACCATAAACAAGTACTGCTTTTGTAATCAGGAAAAATGATTTTTGAAGAGCCCTCATAAATATACTAATGTCAGAAAAAAACTGGACAACCAAAATGTATATAATTCTTCATAAACTAAGCATTAATTTAGTGGCACTTTAAACGGAGATCAATTGATTCTAAAACAGAATTACAGTGAGACGTACTTGGACAGATAATGTATACTAATTAAAACTAAGTGGAAAGAACCAGCACCATCATGGAAGTTCTGAGAATATTGCAATAGCTTCAGCTGGTTTTCTTCAGGTTTAAACTTCTAATGAAATCAGAAGAGGTAAAATCTTATCATTAGGTTTAATGAAGAGAATAAAGAGTCTCTTCTTGTTAAAGGGAGAAATAGGTAGCACTCATTAATTTATTTAATGTTCAACATATAGCTCTTATTAGCACATCTTATATGTGTAACTGTCACTTTTACCAAAATAAGCTTATTTTTTAGCTGTAAAGTAAGTTTTCAAAGAAAATTTAGGAAATAATGAAATACACAGAAGAGAAATGAAGGCATAATGTTATATCCTGAGAAAATCCACAATTTTGTCCAGTTTTTTTCTATGTACCTGTAGATTTAAGAATTGCACTCATATTTTCATAATTTTGTATTCACTTTTAAACCATGTGTTGTATTACAAATATTTTCCAAATTTGCCAATATGAAATTTGAAACCATAACTTTACTGGTTGTATAGTCACATATAATGTCATCTGTTTAATTATTATTTGTGGAATTGAGATTGAGTCTAAAGTTTTGCTCTTGATATATAGAGTAAAATAAACATCATAGTACACAAATATTTAAACATTAATATTTTAAAACTTGTTAAATCAGTACAGTCAGTTTTATATTTCCACCAGGAACCACCACCTTGCCTGGAACAGCAATCACATACTATATAGGAAAAAATTAACTCAATTTATACATAAGAATTGGCATTTCACTATTTTAATTTACATTTTCCTTTGGGTGAGAATGAATATTTTATATTTATTAGCTATTTTTATCTTTATTGAATTTTATAGTGCCAATTATTCCAGTTCTAAAACAATAAAAAGAATTAACTAAGAAGTAGGATGTTTCTAGGCTGTCAAGGTCATTTACCCACAGACTAGTTATATCTAGACTTTTTCTTACTATCTGTAATGCTCAACAGTAAGAAAAAGTTTAGTTACATGATCTTCATCATAAAGCTGGTCTTAGCAAAAAAGAGGTAATATCCAGATAACATAAAATTGTTATAGAATATCATACACATACTAATTTTTATACATCTCACAAATTCTTTTTTTTAGCTTATTTACAATGTATACACTCCCGTCAATCTATTTTAAATGCTGTTCCTCTATTAATGATGGTATGTATCCTTGATTTTTTTAAATTCTTTAATCTTTTCCAACACTGCAATAGAAGCCTTCATCCTATAACTAAATATAACATATTCAGTGTACTTAAAATGTCTATATTTGGGAATAATTTCTCTCAGTCTTAAATGGATATTTTTATTTATAAAGACCCCTCATATTAAAATGGGATGGGGTAATTTTAGATATCAGTTAATAGCCCATAATGAATTAGTTAATTGCTAGGTAAGAGCAAAATTTTATAGACAGGAGTATTAAAATAAGAGATGGAAGAACACAAAAGATAATATTTGGCAACTGCAAAACTGCTTGAGGAATAATGATTGGCAGTTAGTTAAGAGTGTTGTAGATGTTGCCTAGTCTTATCCTACTGACAACACCTAATTAAAGAGATACCATTTGTACTCTATAACAAGCATGAAGGAAGATTGGGTCACCTAGCTCAAAGAAGTTTCTGGGGTTTTGTTTTGCTTTCCCTTCTTGGCAAGGACGTTATCACACAAGGCTTTGCCAAGAGAGCACAACTTTGAAAAATGACATTTAAAAAAACCTTAGCAGTTTCTGATGTAAGTAAAATCAGCAAGATAACAATTACTCACAAAATTACCACAGGCCTGGCAGTCACTCTGGAATTATTGCTAATAATAGCTGACAAAGTTATGGAGACCATATTGCTGGGTTTGACAGGTGTGAGGAAACTCATGAGCAGAGACAGAACTCAATCATTAGTTAACAGCTACTAATAAACATGCAACACCCAGAAGCAACTCCAGACCACAAAGACAGGAAGTGGGGGAGGGCTGCAAAGCAAGTGAGTTCTGTAGAGGAGGTGAATCCTCTAGAGAGATATTAGCAACTATGGTACCCTTGTGAATTTAAAAGGATACCTGCACCCCTATGTTTATTGCAGCATTATTTACAATAGATAAGCTTTGGAAATAACCCAAATGTCCAAAAATAGATTTCTGGATCAAGAATATGTGGTATATATATATATATATGGAATATTATTACTCAGCAACCAAAAAGAATAAACTCATGCCATTTGCAGCAATATGGATGGAGCTGGAAGGGATTATGCTCAGTAAGCCAGAAAGAAAAAGAAAAATAATGGGGAGTTTTACTTTTAGGAGGAATGTAGAGGAACAGAATTAGGTATCAGGAAAAAAAAAGTAAAAATCAAAATCAACAGGCAACTATAGATCAGAGACATTCTGTAGGGCTGGAGGAGGGAGAAGGATAGGGAGAGGGTGGGGAGAGCACAGGAGACTATGGTGATGGAGCTGGAAGGGATTATGTTCAGTGAAATAAGCCAGAAAAAAAGGAAAAATATCACTTATAACAGGAATGTAGAGAAACCAAATAAGGGGTCAGAAAAAAAAGTAACTATAAAAAAGTAAAAATCAAAATCAACAGGCCACTGTAGATCAGAGACATTCTGCAGGAGAGGAGGAAAATGGGTTGGGATGGAGAGGGATGAGCACAAGGGACTATGGTGATGGTAAAAAGGTGAATGGTGGTGGGAATTCATGGGAAAAATCATACATTGTATAAATATGAAGAATGATATGATAAATATATTAAAATATTAAAAATTAGGGAAAATATAAAAATACATTTTAAAGGTGCATAAAAAATAAACTCTCTACTGACAAAAAATATATATACTAAGTACATATGTACAGCTATTTAAATATACCGGTAAGTTACTTAAAAATAAACAAATCAGTTGGGCCCTCCCTGGTGGTGCAGCGGGTTAAAGCACTGCACTAAGAAGCTTAAGCCAATTCCACATGAGTTCGATCCCCACCTGCCCCGGATCGGAGGAGATCGACATGGCATGGCAGACCTCTCCTGACCCACCCGCTGCCCCCCTCAGCAGTGTACTTTGTCGATCTGCCTGTTCTGCTCCCCACTCTGTTCCTGGTGAATCCTCTCACCCTCCACATCTCTGGCTTGTACCCCAGTTCTGTATGAATGAATAAATAAATCTTTAATAAATAAATAAATGAACAAATCGGGCCCTCCCTGCTGGCACAACAGGTTAAAACACAGCACTACAAAGCTGGCCACAGCCACTTCACAAGTTTGATCCCCCACCCCTGGAGGTGACCACATGACATGGCAGACCTCTCCTGACCCGCCCATTGCTCCCCTCAGCAGTGTACTTTGTCAGTCTGCCTGTTTTGCTCCCCACTTTGTCTCTGGTGAAGCCTCTCACCGCCCTTGCACCTCATACCCTAGTTCTATATGAATAAACAAATCTTTAAAAAAAAAATAAACAAATCAAAACAGAGGACAATTAGGGCCTTCTCTGTAATAGAAGTATTCTCTTTGACAACTGCATGGTCACAGGCTACTCTGAGTAGTAGCTATCTAAAATGTACCTCCGTCCGCAATGGAATGTCTTCAGTTTCAGCAATTTCAGAGCTAAAGGTATACTCAGATTCATTGCTGCTGTGAGTGGAGTCTGTTCTTTTATGTCCAGGCTTAGGCACGTTCTGCAAGGCAAATAAATCAGGTATTATTAATACAATAAACCACACGTAGTTGAGGCAGCACATGTCATACTAACATGGTTCTAACCCCTACACACTGACTTGCTGTTCTCACGAGCAATGCTGTCATGACCAAACCCTCACAAAAGGGTCACCAGCATGGCATGACAAATACAATTTCAAAACCAAGTTCTCAAATAAAAATTATCTGTGATTATTACCAGAGTCCCCTCTTAGGTTTTTAAGGTGTATCACGAGAAAAGCACAGGTAGGATGCCTCAACATTCACGTACAGACCTTCAGTGCTGCAGTCAGATACAATTAACCAATCGTTCATATGACAAGATAATGATTTTATTGCACCATAATTGGATATAAATGGTTAAAAAATGGGGGGGGGAGGATTAAGGTAGGGAAGACTCCATATACATGCCTATAATTTCTGCTTTTATGCATGAAGTGAAATCTCTGGAGTCAACAGTGGGAAGCATAAAGTATAGGAGAGATAAAAATACTACTCTAAAAATTCTCCAAAAGGAATCTGGTTAACACTTGAACGACATTAGGAATCTATGAAGTTAGTGTTTGGAAAGCTTGTGGGAAATGAAAAGTTAGTAACTGTAGTACCTTTCCTTCTGTAGGGAAAAGGAATAAGGGCTAGGTTTGTGCCCTCACTCATAGTGTGTACCCCACCAGAAAAGGAAAAGAGGTTCAAAGGCCTGGATCTCATATGGTTACAGATTCTGAGAGCTTCAGAAAGTTTTCTAACAGCTTTCTAGTCTATCAAGTTTTCTTTACTCCTTCCACAATTGCAGGAAAAGAACTGGAAGCCACAAAGAGATTCCTTTGTCTCTTCCCTACTGATATCAAGGCTTATAGAGCTGCATCCAAGGGGATTTAAAAGTCTGCCAGCCCAATCTGTACTAAAGAAGACCTAAAAAGACCAGACCCTCTAAAATCAGCTAGAAAATGAAAGGGAATAATTACCAAGATAAAGCCAAAGGCAGTTAGATTTATTCTCTTCGATCCTCTTACTTAGGTCTCCCAGACCAAGTAAACAGTTGTATGGGATAGAACACATTTAATATATTAGTTATGTCATTAAGATACATAAGTAGAGGTCTTCCTGGTGGCCTACGGGTTAAGTCTCAGTGCTGTCAATCCCCAGCCAGGGAGCCAACCCACAAATGGTACAGCAGACTTCTCCTGTCTCACCCACTGTTCCCCTCAGCAGTGTATTTCAGTAGATCTACTTGTACTGCTCCCCCTATCTCTCTGGTGAATCCTCTCACCCTCCATTCCTCTGGCCTACAAAATAGTTCTCCTATGCCAAAAGAAGGTAAGTCCATATACACAGCAGGACAGTGATTTTTAATATTCATTAAATATGAGCAAGGTTCTATTTTTCCACATGTACAGTCATTACTAAACAACAAGTACCTTAAAGTATGAATAAAAGCCATACTGTGTATTTTTTATTTAAGTAATTTTTAGATACAAAGTACTATGGGGTTAGTACTATGGGTCTGAAACAGAAAACACAAATTACTTATCTCTTACCAACTTCTCAAGCATCAGTTTCATTATCATTAAAAAAGAGGATAATATTATCTACCCTGTAAGGTTTATGTCAGAACTAAATAAGGTAGTTCAAGTACAGGGTTTAGCATAATGCCTGACATATAGCCAGCATTCAATTATGTTAATAGTTTTTGTTGTAATTGTTAGTATCCGAGACTAATATATCAGATCACGCGTTGGTGGGCTTCCAGTTCTCTAAGTTTTTTGGATTCTGTTCCCCTGTCCAACTGCTTATCAGTTTCAAGACAAACATCTGACTTGATTATCAACTCTTCCTTCAAGATCTGCATCTTATACCTCCTCTTCTCTTTGTCATTTCCCCCATATTTCCTTCATTGCTGAATCTGTTTTACTTTGCCAAGATTAATGACTGCATAATAGACATACTAGATTCCTCCCTACTCAGAATTAATTTATCTTCACTACAAATTTGGATTCCCTAGCCTCACTATCCTTTCAATATTTAAAACTCCTATGTCCTGAGTCAGTCTTTTCTCTATCATCTGCCTTAAAATTAAATGTTTCTGTCAAGAAGCCCTAAAATATGTGTTAGAGCCAACCAGAGACACTACTTTGACCTACAAATCATCAGGGGGAAACCCTGAGACAGTCTTGCCATCATGTCAAATCCATATACCATAAAATGCTTCATCAACTGACTCCTGATTATGACAGTGGACTTCGCATTTGCAGAATTTCAATGAAATATTAGCCAAGTACCCATCTGTTAGTTGTGAAGTTTTGTCTAAACATTAAAATAAGATATTACTATTCATATTTTAATTAGTTCACATTATAAATTTTTTATTCTCTGAAATTTTCTGCAAACGTTTTCTGCAAAGACGCAATCTTGATTGCATCTGGAACTTCAAAATGAGACAGACCTAGTAAGGAGATGAGTAGGAAGCTAGAAGCCTCTGATTCCCACCCTCTGTTATTTTCCTTTTCCCTTCCTCTGACCATTTTTGTTACCCAAGAGGAATGACAATCACAGGCAACAATGGAGAGAGTTTTAGGCTGAGAAATCAGAAATCAAGCCCCTAACCTTGGAGCTTGGTTACACTTTTGTTTTTCCACAGCATTGCTGGAAACACAATAGGAGATCAGCAGAGACTTGCTCAGCAGGAAAGAATAGCCCTGCTTTATTTGCTGGAGGAGGGCAATAACGGGTTTTTCCTAGAGATGGCTACCTTTTGACTAAGGGTACCCAGTAACCTCACAGGTGTCTCTGGAATGTCTTGGAGAGTGAAATATACACAGCACATGTTTCTCTCAGTTTATTTCCTGAGGGTCACAGGAACACACTATAATGGAAGCTAAGAAATTCTATAAGGAAAACAATTTGTTTATCTCTGTTTAACCTGGTTGATTTCCACATTTATTTATCCTCAATAATTTATTTTCCCAATGCTACTTATTAATATCTTAAGTAACAAGTGGTCTCAAAACCCATGGGATACAAAACTTTAACCATACCAAAACATAAATTAACCACAAGTATCGGTGTGGTCATGTAGTAAAGTACAAATACATCCAAGAATTGAGCTCTGGGGAACATGATGGTGAAAAGCAAAGAAAAAGAAGCTCATTATGTGAGAATGTGAAAGAAGAAAGGTTTCAACAGGGTTAAGTATATCAGGAAAAACAAGGAAGACATGACTTAGTGACATGGTATCAGAGTGCCAATTATAAGAATAGGACCTATTCTAAATTCTAATTTCTCTTTGTCACATATAAATCAAAGGAAAGTAGTGAGGTTTGAAATAATGGTGCAACTGTGGGACTTATAGTAACGTTTTACCCTCTTTGAGACTAACAGTATATATTAGCTAACATAATCTCTTTAACTTTGATGTTTTCTGTCACCTTTTAAAGCATCCTTTGTCAAAGGATCCAGCTAAAAGCAAAATTTGAAGCAAATACTCTACCTCATAGATATCAAAGTGTAGTACCATTAGGCTACCTCTAAGACTGATAATTAGAGAGAACAAGCCACCTAGGGAACTCTCTTGTTTCTTGGTAACAGGATATGTAGAACAGAAAAGGGTAACATAACTATTAAAAGTGCAAGAGGTACACTGGAAGATGCAACAGAGTTAAAACAATTTTTATAAAGAGACTGAATTGTATTTTTAGAGGTATATATCTTCAAAATTATAATAAAAATAAGTAGAAGAAATGATTGCATCATTATTTGTTTTATATACAAATTTTACATTGCCATTCAATACATGAACCAAAGTTCACTCCACTGACTTCACGTGATCTCAAAGTCCAGTTTTTAAAGTGTTTGACTTTACAAAAGTACTTACAAATAAAATTATATGATTTCTGTTTTATTTGCTTTCAAAGAACCAAGTCCATTGGGTGGAGTGGGATGGAGGTACAGAAGCGTGTTTTCAATTTTGGAATTGAGTGATGAGCGTGTAAGGCTCTCATGGCAGTATTTTATCTACTTTTGCATATGTTAACATTTTTTACTTCATAAAAAAACAAGTGCTGAACTCACCATCATTAGAGTCATCTCTTCCTTGAGGTCATCATAGCGTTCTTCTAAGCGACTGAACTCATTCAGCAAGTTCTGGTATCTCAATCTTTCATCATTAAGATCAAGTTCTAGTTGTTTTGTTTCTTCTATTAACTTCTTCTCCATAGTCTCTGAAAGAAGATGGTAAAGCATACAAAGATGGCTCCACAGAATGCAAATTATGTACAATGACTGCCCATTTCTCTGCCTGAGATTTTATTTTTAACATGACTGTAATTATGAAGAGAAAGAAACATTACCAAAGTTGAAATAAATTTACTAATAAACAACAATACTCCTCTACAGAGTCCTTTCATGTGCTAAGGATTGAGTGTCACTAGTACACTTACAGGTTATACCACATTCTTGCTAAAATAATAGTCATTGCCTAGTGATTCTTTTAAGTATATATTTTTCATTCCGAAAGTACTGTTTCAGATATTCATAAAGTTCTTTTGTCTGAATTAGTGTGTTTTCTGAAAAAGTCAGAGATACTCTTAAAGAATGGTAACTTTGGGGGCCTCCCTAGTGGCCTAGGGGTTCAGTCTCAGTGCTACATTGTTATAGCCTGAGTTCAATCCCTAGTCAGGGAGCTGACCCACATTTGACATAGCAGACCTCTCCTGTCTCACTTGCTATCCTTAGCGGTAGTATTTCAGTATATCCGCCTGTTCTGCTCTCCACTATCTGGTGAATCCTCTCACCCCCCACCCCTCCATCCCAATTCTTCTACACCTACACATACACACCAACACACACACACACACAAATGGCAACTTCCCAGTGGAACTTCTGTCCTATTCTACAGCCTCTCTATGCAAATCTCATTCCCAGGATCCTATCTTACAGTTTTTCAGCACTGTGAACTTCCCTACTGTCAAATTAGCTGCCAGTTTCTAACAGGGTAAATCCCACAACTGATCGTCTATATTCTTTATTTTGGGGCCATTTTCTGTGGGCTGCTGGGGAACCCTGACCTTACATTCCCACTCTGCCCTTTCTTTTGCCACCTGGTTAGCGTATTATCTGGAGATGGAGATCAGCCTAACAAGTAAGTAAATCTTTCTCAGAAGTAAGAAAGTCTCAAATATCAGCTGTATGTTTTAACTCAATTAATCAACCAGTCATATTTAAAATATTAAGCTCTCTACAACTATGTCCTATTTTACCCTCATTATTTTATGACTAAATTCTAAATCTACTCTATTTCCATGAGGGCAAAGGTCCTTTTACCTTGTCTTGTCACATTTGCTTCTTTGTTGCTCACCACTGTGTTTCCTTAGTAGGGCTTTGATACCTAATGCTTTCTTTTCTTAGCATAAGATTGTACAAAAATGAACAATGATGTAAAATATAGATATATTATTTAATTTAAAAAATTCTCTTCTTGAATGAAATTAGACTACCACCTAACACCACGCATAAAAACCAACTCAAAATGGATAAAAAAACATAAGACCTGAAACCACAAAAAATATAGAAGTTTTAAAATATAGACAAAACACTACATGACATACATCCCAGTAACATCTTTAAAGGCTCATCCCCCAAAGCAAAGAAAGTGAAGAAAAGAGATGAACAGCTGGGGTTACATCAAACTAAAAAGCTTCTGTACAGCAGAAGAGACACTAAACGAAACAAAGAGACACTTTAGTGATTGGGAGGAAATTTTTATACACAATACAACTGATAGGGACTGATCACAAAAATCTACAAAAAGCTCACATGACTGAACAAAAACAAGTAAACAATCTAGTCAAAACATGGGTTGAAGAGCTAAAAAGACACTTCTCTGAAGAAGAAATACAAATGGACAACGGGTATATGAAAAAATATTTGACATCACTTACAGTCAGGGAAATGCAAATCAAAACCACAATGAGATGCCATCTCACACCGGTGAGAATAGCACATATTAAAAAAAAAAACTAGCAACACCAAATGGTGAAGATATGGAGAAAAAGAACTCCCCTACACTGTTGGTAGGAATGAAACTGGTCCATATTTTATTGAAAACTGTGTGGAGGTTCCTCAAACTACTAAAAATGGAGCTGCCACATGATCCAGAAATTCCACTCCTAGGTATCTAACCAAAGGACACAAAAAACATTAATTCAAGAGGATACTATATCCCTAGGTTTACTATAGCACTATTTATAATAGGAAAGATATGGAAACAACCCAAATGCCAAAAAATAGATGGCTGGGTCAAGTAGGTGTGGTACAACACAACAATGTTCAGCATTCAAAAAAGATATACTCACACCATTTGCAGCAACATGGATGGAGCTAGAAGGGATTATGCTCAGTGAAATAAGCCAGAAGGAAAATGAAAAATACGGATGGTTTTATTTATAGGTAGAATGTAGGGGAGCCAAATGAGGAATCAGGAAAGAAAAGTAATAGTAAATAAAATAACAAAATTAGGCCCTCCCTGGTGGCTCAGTGGGTTAAAGCACAGCACTGAGAAGCTAAAGCCACTTACACATGAGTTCGATTCCCGCCTGCCCGGGATGGGAGGAGATCGACATGGCGTGGCAGACCTCTCCTGACCCGCCCGCTGCTCCCCTCAGCAGTGTACTTTGTAGATCTGCCTGTTCTGCTCCCCACTCTGTCTCTGGTGAAGCCTCTCGCCACCCCTGAGCCTCTGGCCTGTACCCCAGTTCTGTATGAACAAATAAATAAATCTTTAAAAAAAAATAAAAAAATTAACAGGCAACTATAAATCAGAGACTTTCTGTTTGGGGTGGGGGAAAGGAGAAGTATCAAAACAGAGGAGGAAACAGCACAAGGTACATGGTAATGGTGCACAGGTGTATTGGTGGTGGGAATTTTACAGGGATTACACCCGAGAGAAGAAAGCAAAATGTACAAAAATGAACAATGATGTAAAAACATATATAAATTAAGAATTTTTTAAAAATAATTTCCTTTATAACATTCTTTAAATGCCTTTTATTTTCACCAGCTTGTAGAAATTGACCAAGACTATTAAGCACAGGAAAACTAAATTTACCTAGATAAATCCATTGTTATTATTTTTTTTCTTTTTAGCTTCAAGTCATATTTTATATTTCCTTAAAAGTACTCTGATCAGGGCCCTCCCTGGTGGCACAGCAGGTTAAAGCACAGCACTAAGAAGCATAAGCCACTTCAGCATGAGTTCAATTCCCAACTGCCCCCGGAGGAGATCCACATGACGTGGCAGACCTCTCCTGACCCGCCCACTGCTCCCTTCAGCAGTGTACTTCGTCGATCTTCCTGTTCTGCTCCCCACTGTGTCTCTGGTGAAGCCTCTCACCCTCTGCATCTCTGGCAGTTCTGTATGAATAAATAAATCTTTAAAAAAAAAAGTATTATGATCATTCTAAATCTTTCCATTATATTCTGTAATCCAGAAGCCTTTCACTATGTCTTCAGAGATTGCTTTCTGCTTTGATAGCTATTTCAAGCTATTTTTCTTTACATTAGCCCTATTTTCATGCCATAATGTTTAATTCCATATATCTCCTCTTTCCTCTACTCTATCTCCCTTAATTGGGAAGGAGGGTATAGTTTAAGGGAAAGCACAGTGGGCTTGCATCATTTCTTTCTCTAATGTTTAATCTTAACTTATTTTCAAAAAACTTCTATCTTGAGGTCCTAAATAAATCTAAATCTTAACACTCCTACAACTGACTGTGTTAATTTTCTTCATACACATATAATTTACCCCTCTAAATTCACTTACTACTAACAGCATAGCATTATTGTTTGTATACCTCATCTCAAAACTTTAGAAAATTTTTATGCCATTTTTGAAGATCAAATCAAAACTTATAACATTTTGTTGATTTTTTTCATAAAGTTTACCCCACTAACCCCATCTCTTTCCTTTTCCAAATTACGCTAGTTTCCACTTAAGTCTTTTTTTCCCATTTTGTATAGATGTGGACACCCTGTAAATTATCAGCATTTCACCCCACAAATAATAAATAGAAAAAATAATTTCTTTTCTCTATAACATTCCTTAGTACCAAAGATACTAGTTTGGTCTATTCAATTAGAGTATGTCTTGTTTTATTTTAGTTTGGTGACAAAAAGTGATTGCACTTAGGAAAATAGTATCCATTGGTTTAAAAAATAAAATTAAAATATACATAAGAATAATTCAGGAGTTACAATAGGACTCCTATAAGCCATACTCAATAACTCTAAATATAGATAAATTAAGTTTTTAAAAAATTACATTTATGACCTTGTCTAAATATTTGTACCTACAGAGATCACATTTCTAGTTCACCAATTAATTTGCCAAAGTATTTAGAGTATGTAAATGTACTGATGACAGCCTCAACTTTAAAAAATATCTCAGCTCTAAGAAAACTTGTTACTTACGGAACTCTGGTCTGAGATTAGACACCTAAGCCTTACCTGTCATCTCCTTAGCCTGCTCCACAATACGGTGATTGAGGGCCTCTTTTTCCTGCTTCAGCAGAGTATTTTCTTCCTTCAGATTTGACACCAGCTATGAAATAAAACAATAAAGTGAGATAGCTGCACAGCACAGAGGAAGCCCCATGCAAGGTATAAAACCACACAATTATCACTCCTTACTTCCATAGCTCAGTGCCTCATCTTACTGCCTGGTTATTGTCCAGTCATCTTTCAAACTTGACTCAAGCATTACTCCCTACTTCCAGGGAGAAGATTCTTTTCTAAAAGGACACCCTCTTCAGTTAGCTGTCTTTCTTCTGGACTGTGTAGGACCTTGTATATGCCTCTTTATGGACCTTATAAGTGACATACTTTTATTTCCTGAGTAATATAGATATTCTTGGAGAAAAAAATGATTGCTGTTGTTGTTTCACATTGTACCTTGAGTCTTCAGCAACTACCCAGCCCCTACTAAGCATTTGTTCTTGAAGCAATGGTAATACCTTCTCACCTCAATACCTTAACACAAGGCATGTGTGTTCCTTGTCATTCAGGTAAAGAGTAAGAATATCTCCTTAGATATGAAGGCTTTTTTTAAATCTGCAAATTCATTGAAGACCCTATGAAGTTCCCCACTCTTAGTTCTGAGAAAGAGAATTTTCCTTTCATCTCCTTTTAAGAGTTTTGCAAGGCTGCAAAAGTTCTTTTATTTCATGTTTAAGTAAGCACTGACCTTAAACAGTGTGACTGTACTTAACTGACACAGAACAGCATATTTAAAATGGTTGAAGTGGTTAATTTTATGTAATGTAGAGTTTTAAAAAAAGAAAAGAAAAAGCACTGACCTTCAACTTTCTACTTCCTGGTTGGATAAGATTTTCCAGGAAGTAAAAATCAAAACCAAAGGTAACTCTGCAGAGAGTATAATTTATGCACTTCCTCTTATGTGTGCTTAGGATGGTTAAAAAGTGAATTTCTTTCTTTACACATAAGAAACTCTAAAGTGACAGTTTGAATAATAAAGATGAAGTGTCAGAAGTGCAGAAACAGAGAAAGAGGGCTCTGTGACTAAGGGGCCCTGGAGTCCAAGGGTACTTGATATCAGCACCCCACCGATGCAGAAGCCGGTCCAGAAGGCACTCCTTCCAATGGTCCAGTCACCTCAGCCTGGCCTAAGAAGACCTTAACATACACTCTTAGTACAAAGGCCCAAGTTCTATATGTGCTTTAGAGAAAACTGGTCTTTGTAAGGCATATGCAACCAATCACTTACGCAGCTTTCACAAAATCATCATGCTTAATCTACACTCCCAGAATTTAGGCAAATATCTTTTCTAAAACTCCCCCAGCAGATTCTGATATATGCACTGCTGGGGAAATACTGCAGTTTCATTGTATATTCTGGGCTCCTTGATCAAGCTGACTATGAATTCTTTTTCCTAAACATTACAGTGGTTGTGACAATGCAATGTTTTTATTTTTTCCTTATCACTACACTCCATGCAAAAAAAAATGGTAGTCCTATAGCGATCCCTATGAAAAGCAAGATCATGAAAAGAAGACATATGAATCTGTCTGTATGTGCCATTCTATCAGGTAAGTTAGGATGAACTTGCCTTTGAAGAGGGAAAAAGAATACTCTTACCAAACTTAAATACTCTACAGATTCAGGGTAATCTGAAAAGCTTAAAATTTAAAAAAATTTAAAAAAATACATATCTTAATCCTTGCATACCCTATGAATATATATTTGAATTTTGAGAGAATAGCTTGCCATGTCAAAATAACATACTATAGCACGGCTGTTTCCATATACTGAGTCTAGATCTGTTGGATATATAGAAGGAATTATTTCATCAGAACTGAACACTATGGAAGGCTACAGTTTTATCAGCTACTCTATCCTACCTAACTGCAACTAAACTCCTTCTGCGAGCTTCACTGTATATTAGTAGTTAATATTTGGAAGTCTGTACAGAAAAAGCATTGTGGTATCCTTGCCAGCAGTTATAGCCAAAAGAATCACCTATTTTCATTAAAAGTTGGTAATCAAACAATCTCAACTTACATTGATGTACTTTTGAAAGCATTTAAAAATGCATCTCTTTCATACTTGTTGTTTTCTGTACTTAATAAAGGTCCAATAAATGTTAATTGTATATGTGTAGTTTGAAATCACTGATCAATCTTCAGAGACTCCTAGTTTCATTTGCACAGCAACACTTAGCTGTGACTGTTGTGCTGACTTTGAAACTTCTGCTTTTATTTTTGAATATAGCCTAACTTAAGAGTTCATTAAGATCACCTATCAACATCTGATTATTTTATTTGCTTCTTACTCACATTAATTCCACTGAAGAAAAAATGAGCCTAGACTCTATCCAGAACAATGCATTTAAATATACAATACTGTTTGCCTCTATTTTTATTAGAATTGAAAGGTACTACTAAAAGATGTACTCATCCAAAAGAATTATTGATAGTGCTGATAGCCATACCTCTGAAAAGCAAATCATGAAAAAAAATGTTTGGGAGACTAATAATAAAACAATGGAAATTTGTGTTCCACCTTCAATTTAAGCCGACATTGAGTCACTCGGGCCAGGTCAAGGCAGCACATTTCCCTCATGAAAGCAGATAAAAATGTGAGCAATAGTTCCTACCTCCTCAGTTTCTTGTTTGTATTTATCTGCACGTTCCTCAATGGTCTTTTTCTCTGACCGAGTTTGCTCCAGGTCTTTTCGGAGCTTGGCAATTTCTTCCTGAAGACTAAGAACTCGTCCAGTGGCAATTTTAGCTTCCTCCTCACTTAGCTGAAGTCGTTCTAAGTCACTTCGTAGTTTCTCAGTCTCAGAGTTGTATATCCCTTCCAGATTGGTCAGTTTCTCCATGAGGCATTTATAGTCTTTGTTCTTAAAACACACACAGAAGAAATATACATTATCAAATACAGTAAGTGAGGAAAAACTGCACTTATTCATCATGCTCATGCTGTCTTACAGCACTGATATAACATCTAACCAAAATACTAACCAAAATATTGATAATAGCATAACCAACACTCTTGGTAACAAAGAGAAAAAGGCACAATTATTCTATTTTACATTATGAGCAACATAAATATGACTTTCTAATAATGACAAGGAGAGCTATAATAAGCCATAAATAGGAGAATTTATACTAGCTTTTGAAAACAGATCTGTGTGCTACTAAAAGCCAAATATTAGTCTGATGATGCTACAATATGGCCTCAAAAATCACAAGTTTCTTACCTTTATTAACTCAAAACTCCCCTTGCCCACTTAGGTGATATTTTCTACAGAATCCTTTTTCATTCTGACTTCTGTTTTTCTTTGCCCTCCTTATGTAGTCTCAAATACCTTTGTATTTGCATGTGTATAATTAGTCATTATCTCTGAGAAATCAAACTTTTAGCTCTGTAAATAGGTGTAGATTCCTCCTGCTTCTTTTTTCCATCTGAATGCTACACAACTCATTTGCAAAAAGAACAGTCTCCCACATGAAAACAAATAGCAATGATAAAGGACCTCCTTAAAATATAAAATATAGGGCGCCTCCCTGGTGCTGCAGCTGGTTAAAGCACAGCACTAAGAAGCTAAAGCCACTTCAGCATGAGTTCTATCCCCGCCCGGGACGTGACCCACAGGGTGTGGCAGACCTCTCCTGACCCACCCACTGCTTCCCTCAGCAGATCTACTTCATTGATCTGCCTATTCTGTTCCCCACTCGTCTCTGGTGAATCCTCTCACCATACCTGCACCTCTGGGCTGTACCCTAGTTCTGCATAAATAAATAAATCTTAAAATATATCTATATATGTATATAAAATATATGACTCTCAGTCATAAAGGTCTGCAGCATTTGTAAATCTAGCTGCTTTTACAAAAATAATTTCCTGCCTTTACATTTATAATTGTACCTATGAGCTTGCCAGTTTTTCCATTTTCCTGATTATTATCATCTTACTTTTTTGTTAAGACTGAGAGGTCAAGTCAAGGGGAGACAATGCAGAACTCAACCCTGGTGGGTTTCTCCAGGCATGATCCACTCCTAGGGCTCCTGTTTAAAACACACCTGCTCATCGACTTTGCGCTGCAGCTGCATGATCTTGTTCTCCATGCCAATGTGGAGTTTCTTGTAGCGTTCCACAGAGCGGGCCTCAATCTTGAGTTTCTTCAGCTCACGCTTGGCCATCATCCGCCGGAAACAGCACTGAAGGTAAATGATGGCATGCATGCATCGCTTATAGTGGGTGCGGGCCAGCCATCCCCGGATCCATTTCTGAATGATGACAGCTTTGTGTTCACGAAGTATCTGCAGAAAAAGGGAATGGACATGGTAGGCCCTGAGCTAAACTCGAGGTTCAACCCCATCAACCTATGTATATTAGACTGGGAATCTATACATTATACCTAAAGTGACTGGAGCAACAGAATGGATTATAGATCACAAGTATATAGATACACAAAATGATGTGAAATGTAGTCATGGAAAGGTGACTGGAGAAGCATAAAAACATGTCATATTCACATATATGTATTTTTATGAGCAAAAAAAAAAAACCTTAGAAACTGTAAATAAAAGGCACCAGGTTATCAAAAAAAAAGCAATTCTAAAGAAAAAGGAAAGATGTGTTAAGTTCTTACTGTATATAAGTTTAATTAGTAACAGATGAGTCTCCATAAAGTGAACAGAATAGGCACCCTGTGAATCAGGTAGTCAGCATGTTAATATGCTACAAAACTAAAAGATTTACCTACCACCCTTACTATGGACATTTCAATGTGCAATAGGTCTGTGCTTGAGGACATGGGGTATGGCCAGTTGTTGCAAAATTTATTACTGATGTATTAATTCTTCTCCCAGAAACAAGCCACACACACACACACACACACACTTGATTGCTATATTTCAGGAATACAATCCTAGTAGACAGCTTCCATTTCTTTGAATCACTGAAGGGATGCAAAAGAAAGAAGAATGGGGCTTCAAAAGGAAAGCTAAAAGTGAAAGTAAAATGAAATGAAGTAGATGGACCTTAATTTTGATTTTATGTTCTATTTTTTTTTTTAAATCATGATAGTCCCCTATGCTTGTAACAAAAAAGTTTGCCTTGTGAGTTATAGTTATCACTAAAGACAATCAAGCAGAGATTGTATATACATTTCCCAGGAATGATGGAAAAGAAATTCTTGAATTTTAAGAAAGGTTCAATTAGAAAAAGGTTGAAGTCTTTGTAAGGTTTTAATTTTAAGAAATAATCTGATATGACATAAATGTTTAAATGTATGTACTTAATTAAATATTTGTACTTGTTAGTGATAGCTACAAATGGACACAATGTATCTCTTACCAACCATTTAAAATGTACCTGAAACCATTATTCAAATAGCAGCTTAGTAAGATCATTAAAAAACTATTTTTAGGTTACATTCCTATTGTGGGATTACATATTTGAGAAAGGAAAAAGAGTATCACTCTAGAGGATACATTTAAGAAATAAGTAATTAAAGTTCTAAACAATAAAATATATATATAAAAAAAACATAGGTGTGTATGACCTGAATTAGTAGCTTCAGCCAACTCATGGCTCCCCTCCTTTGGTTATTTTGTAATGTTAAGGCAGCCTTCAGCTTTCACTGAGGGCAGACATGGTGACTCATGCTGCAGACAGGACATTCTGCCTACTCACTGAATATCATAGTCCCTCAGGTGACCACATCTTATCCAGACAGCTCATCACCAACTGGGTTAGACTCAGTAATGGCAAATTGAATGTTTCGACCTCAAACTCAAGAAGCACGCAGAGATAACACTATTGTCATTTCCTTCTCTACACGTAAGTTCAAACATTGGTCCATTTCTGTAATTTCAGTGAAATGTAAACGTCATTTACATAACTAGAGCTTCCATTTTCATCTTCATTTCTATCAGTAAGAGAAGTTAAATATATGTTCTCCCTATAAGAACCCCACATTATGACGAAAAAGCTTCAACATGAAACACAACTAGAAAGAGAACTAGTGGCATACTGCTTGCCTATACAGGAGTTAGCCTCTAACCCGCCTCTTCTACTTTGTCCAGTCCGATTGGGAGCTGAGCTGGCCAGACTGCACTGCTAAAATTAAAGGTTTCAAGACTCACTTCAGATGCTCCTGAGGAGAATAGAGCGAAGCAAGAGGATAATCAGTTTGGTATTTCTAAAATGTCAAGCTTAATAAGGATTTTCCACTCTGAAAATTCATGCTTGTAAAGAAAGCACACCAGACTATAAAGCAGGCATGGACAAAAAGAGTAGCTTCTTCAAATTTTCATCAAAACACAACTAGTAAATATACTTACTCAAGCCTCATTAGCTTCCCATTTTTATTTACTCACTATAATTATTTTAAAATGAGAAATTAAAATAAATACATGAATAGGTTACACCCATACATTGCCTGTAATGAGAGACATGTCCCTCAAATTACCCCATTTATACTCCTCCTAACAGTCGTGCCGACAGAGCTCTAAGATCTAGATTGTATTTCTGGCTTAACTGAATATATCCTGAAGGGCAGATTCAATACCTTGCCAAAAAGAGATTAATGCCTTTCATAACTAGCATATAAACTGCCAGAAGTGATGATTAATATTAATCTGATGACACATTATTTAGAGTCATGTTGTTATTGCTAGGTATAGACTGTCAAGAACTTAATATACTAGTCAATACAATTTAAAACACATTAGTGTTATAATTTATTTCCTTCAACATGATAGATTCTTCTGAGGTTGGCTCATCTTTGGAATAATCTTCTACCCATCTGTTATATATTCTACCTATTCAAAGCTCACCATAGTCTATAGAATAAAGCTCTCCCAAAGAAAGCCAAGTCCTAAATTGTGGAATTTATAAATGTTGCCTTATTTGGAAAAAGATCTTTGCAGACATGATTCAACTAGGGACTTAGAGATGAACAGATTATCCCGAATTGTCCAAGTAGGCCTTAAATTTATCAGAAGTATTCTCATAAGGAGACAAAACAAGAGAATGTAGACACACAGGGAGAAGACAATGTGAAGATGAATACAGAGACTGGTGTGACGTGGCCACAAACAACAGGAATAGCTAGCAGCCACCAGGAGGTTGAAGAGCTGAGGAATGTATTCTCCCCGAGCATTCTGGAGGGCATACAGCATCGTTGGCACCTGACTTTGGCCCAGCATACCCTGTGAAAGAATCTATTTCTGTTGTCATTAGTTGCCAAGTTGGTGATAATTTATTACAGCACAGGAAATTAATACACTCACTTTTTTCAAATGACAGACATGGTGGGAAGAAATGGAGGTAAATTTTCTTATTTCATTATCTTTTAAAAAATGTGTTGTTTCCATAAGGCTCCTATGTCCATGACAGAGAGTGGTACTTTGTACATGCAGACTTTGATTGATGTTAATGAAATGAATAAGCAAAGTTGAAAATAATGTCTCACCTTGCGATACCTATTTCTTGACAAGTAGCCTCGCAAATAAGACTGAAGAACAACAGTGGCAGCTCTTTTAATCTTGTACCTCCTGCGAACTACATACATGCGCCAGTATTTCTGGATGATGGTTGCTGCCTTGGTTCTGCGCAGGAACTTAGCATAGCTAGTTAAAGAAAAGAGTAATGGACTGTCCGTAATCACAGAAACTCAAATATGCTTTGCAGAGACAAAGCACAAGTGTCATTGGCCTAGTAAGTACTATCTCCATGGACTCTATTGAACTAATAACATACTTTAAATCAATTTCTTATATTTGTGTGACAACGTAAAGTTCCCACAAATTTTTTTTTGCATTTATATTTCATTTGAGTCTTAAGTCCTGAAAAGTAGACTATTCCACATTACCCAACTTTACAATAAAGAAAGTGAAGCTCATAAAAGTTCATTTTTTCTACAACAATGTTCATTATACTAGGTTATACCTCCTTTACACAGCAGACCAGCTGACACAATAATGCTATACTGACTCATACAATATTTATAGATATCTATGAAAATGTACACTTCCTAACCTTTCTATTTGTGTATAAGTTTTTTTGTCATTAATTCATAATTAATTTTAATTTCCAAATTAAAATTATCCTAATATATTGGGCTGTCAGAAAAATCATGATGCATTTTTTCTGTTTTTCAAAGAAAAACTACGTCATGACTTTTCTGACAATCTAATATAATCACATAGAAGTATAGCTCCCTTCTTCTCCCGAAAATTCCTAAATGGAATCTTTATTAAGTCGCTCAGACTCATGACACTTTTAATTTACAGATGACTTAACGTCCACATGAAAGTATACAAAACAGGGCCTCCCTGATGGTACAGAGATTAAAGTCTCAGGCTATCAAGCTATCTCCAGCCTCTATATGAGTTCATCCCCCATCAGGAGCACATGGCTCAGCAGACCTTGCCTGTCTCCCATAAGGGTAAGTGAAATCTTAATTTGTTTCAAAAGACAATTGTCTTTTCAGTTAAAACAGATTAAATGTTGCCTTAAGTGAGGCGACCACTCAAAATTCTCCTGGGTGGGACAATGAATCAGACGAGCTCTCTAATCTTACAGGCATGTAAGTGCAGAGAGGACAGGTGGAGTCTCACCATCGGGCCTGATAGCCACGCACAAATCTCTGCACGGTGATGGCCGCCTTCCTCATGCGCAGGTACTTCTTCCTCAGCAGCCACCCTCGTATGGTCTTCTGGATCCGGATGCAGGCAGCCCTCAACTTGTCCGCCCTCAGTTTTTCTAGATAGGCCACTTGACCCGCACGGAAGAAGATCTTTGTTTTGCCAAACTGGTATTTGTCTTTGTCCTATTTTTGGAAGAAATTGCATACTCAGAGTAGAAATGATGACCATGTAATTTTAAAATAGAAAAAATATGCCTAAAAGCAGAATCACTCAAGAAAGACTCGATTAGCTAAAACTTGGGCTACATCACAATTAACTAATAGAGTGAGATTTTTGATCCTATGCAAACTGAGCAAGTAGAGGAATTTTAAGAAAAATTTCAATTTAGGTGTTATTTTCCAGAATTATTCTACCTGGAATTATATCTGAGGCCAAAAACTTGGTTGTGGGTTACACGCAGCTACTATTTGTTTGTATGTTAAATATCTCAAGGAAATGGAGATGCTGACTCCCTCTGACTGACCCACGCTGTAAGGATTACACCAGGCTGTATATTCCATGAAAAAGCTGAAGGAATAAAAACATCACTATGAAGAATAAGACAAGAAGTAACACATAGAAAATAAAAATTAAAAAAAAAAAACCTTGCTTATTCATAAGCTAACTTTCTCAAGTGTTATTTCTTAGCTTTACCAACAGGATCTGAAGATAAACAAGGTTTAAAATCCTTATATAAATTTCAACACTCCATTTATAAAATATAATCATCTATACCATTGATGATCTTTTTTTACTCTAGTCAGAGTCAGTGGTAAACACAGACATGCATGCTATTTCTGTGCTATTATACAGTAATCCACTACCTGAAAGCATTCACTGATCTGAAATTCTAAGAGAAAATAACTTTTTACTATAAGCATATATTTTATTTTGTACACAACAGCAAACAATCAGAAATTTCTAAATATATTTTTTAAAATCTAAACTTATTTCTATTTAAATCAATAAATTTACATAGGAAACCTAGCTGAAGATATAAAAAGAGCAAGTAAGTAGTTTCTTTCCCACTCTCCCTCCCTTCACCCTAACTCATCTCAGTTCTCCCCATTCCACCCCACATCAAACCTGTACTCTTCTGTAGCTACCTCTGTCAAAATGTCCTAGAAAGTTGTGAAACAGTCCTGGAGTGGCCTGAGTAAGGAGTTCATCAATAGAAATGTCCTCAATTTCTTTTTAATTTGTTATCATCTGAACCCAGGGGCCTCCCTGGTGGTATACATGTTAACACTCAGTGCTATCACGCTATCACCCCTGTAACCTGAGTTTGATCCCTGGCCAGGGAGCTAACACACATATGGTGTAGCAGACCTCTCTTGTCTCACCCACTGCTCCCATCAGCAGTGTATTTCAATAGAACCACCTGTTCTGCTCCCCACTCTGTCCCTGGTGAATCTCCCCCCACCCCACACACACACACTCTCCCACACTCCCACCAACACCCTGGTTCTTACATGCAAAAATAAATCTTTAAAAAAATCTGAACCCAAACTGAAAAAGCACATTTATTACACAGAAAGTGGCCTTAGGGCTTTAAAAAGTTATCAGAGATATTACATTTAGTTATTAGCTATAAATACAACTAATTACTTTCAAGTGAGCTAACCCATACAGACAGAGTGTCAAATAAATGGAACCTGTTTTTAAAAAAACAGTCATGAATCTTAAATTCTTCATGGTCTAGATGAGTGGTTCTCAAAGCATAGTTCTCAGACCAGTATTAGTATTGCCAGACAACTTCTTCAAAATGCAAATTAATGAGCCCATCACAGACCTACTAAATCAGAAACTCTGGAGTTGGGATCCAGCAATCTCTTTCAACAAGCCTTCCAAGTAACTCTGAGGCATTTGAGAATTCCTTAGCTTGGCATGCAAGACATTCCACGACACTGACCCACAATTTCCTAACCATTTTAGACTGCAAAAAAATGATTTTATTGTTTTCTGAGTAAATTATGTTTCTTTATACCTTGTTTAGTGTTAGAATATTCTTCCACATTTAAACAAGCTTACCCATTTTTCAAAGCCTGCCTTAAAACACATCTCCCACCAAAATGTCCAGCCTTCCTTTAGTGGATGTGACTTTGCATCCTCTGGATCTTATCTCACTCATTCAGCATTTGACAGACACTAAAGTATATTATACTTATTATCTTTGAAATAGTTACTTAGCTTTAAATGTATTAATGTCCAAGACAGACTATCTTATCTGAAGGACAAAACGTGTTTTCTTAACCACTGGGTAAATTCTGATAATGATCATTTGAAAATGATCAACCTCTGAAAGAATGTGTCTCAAGAATGTGTCTTACTCTCTGTGTTAGTGGGCCATCATCTTCACTAGTCCTAGAATTTATTGTTCTGATCTCCAAGTCAATGTGCCCCACTACCCTTGACCCCAGGAGTCTGAGTGAGAAGTATCTGATGCTTCCAAGGTTTTCAAAAGTCACAATCACAAGGCCTTTGGCCAATCTCTATTTAGATAAAAGTAAGTGAAAATTTTTCTTACCACTATCAGTTTCTCTAATACATTCTTGCATGTTTGCTTCCTGTCACTTAGCACATCCTTTTGCTTCATTAGGACACGGTAGCGGCTGAAAAATTCTTGGTAAGTCCACCTATAAAAAGAAATTCATGACAACTTATTTAAAGTAGGAATATCTCCCATAAGGACCCCCTGTACTTGAAAAATGCCAGGCTCACCGAGAGGGGAAACCTGCTGCGCTGATGCGAATGGTTTCCAGGACACCACATGCTCTCAGCTGCTGTACTGCCCTCTTCTCATCAAAGCTACATATAAGACATGAAAACCATTAATAGACAAGGAACCCTGGCTGTAGCCACAATTACTGTGCTCAGTTCAGAGATTAAATTCCTTTGTAAGAGCCAAATGGATAAATTAGGGGGAAAATGCATTCAAACATCGAAGAAGAGATCAAAATGAAAAATTCCATGGGGAAGAGAAAATCCAGCAATAAAAACACAGAGGTGTAAACATCATCTCTGGCTCATACTCTAACTCGTAAGAAATATCACTGAGCATATATTTTTAAAAGCCCAGAATGCCTCTGCACTCTGTTCATTCTAGACTTGGCCTGATTAGCCCAACTTGTAACTTGTTAGTGGGCCATACATAGTGCCCCTGCATAAAGGCTAGCCAGCTCTGGAGATTTCTCTAATGAGAATGACAAATTATGTATGCCCCACTCAGTTATTTTTAAAAATGCACTAGTGTAAACTATTTAATTCAGTGTGTACATAGTAAGCACTTATAATTTCCACATCAATGAAATGTATTTTGTATTATACTTTTTATTTCATTCTAGACAAATGGCATCTTAGCATTCAATTGAAATTAAAAGAGGAGGTAGCAAGGGTTGCTGCTCACAAGGTAACCACTTCTTTTACTCCCACAGTTAAGCCCTGCTGACATATCTAGCCTTCTGCTACGCTTCACAAGTGTTGGATTGGTGGTGGTTAATGTGGCTGGCTGATGGAAGGTAATGACACCAAGGGCTGTTCAGGAAAGTGTACCAGAGTAAGGCAGCTTCTTCTTGCATCCCACTTCTTCCAGCAAGGGTTTTGTGGTAATGAGGAGGCTAACCTACCCTGCAGTCTAGGACAGATTCACCAGATGGCAGGAATGGCTACAGTACAGGGGAATGGAGCATACATAACTGGCACTCATGCACTGTGGAGTGATAGTGGTAGTTATCACAAGCTATAGTAAATTTGCCCAGTCTTTTACCTATAAATTACGCCTATAGAAATAATTTATCTTAAGGAGATAATCAAGTAAATATACAAAAATGTTTGGCAAAAGATCTTTGTATCATTACTGTTGCAATAGCCTAAATGAATTGTATTAGGCAATAATTTTAAAAATGATGGTATATCCCTGAAAGACACAAAAACACTGATTCAAAAAGATACCTGCACCTCCATGTCTACTGTTGTTTTCTTTACAACAGGAAAGACATGGAATCAACCCAAATGCTGATAACTGGATTAAAAAGATGTGGTACACATATACAATGGAATATTATTCAGCAATCAAAAAAAGATAAACACATGCCTTTAAGCCAGAAAGAAAATGAAAAATACTAGATGGTTTCACTAATAGCAGGAGCATAAAGGACCAGGGGTGGAGGAATAATAATAATGAACAACTATATACCACAGACATTTTATGGGGGTGGAGTGAGGAATGGGATCAGAAATGGGCGGGGGGGGGAAGTGCACTGGACTAAGGGTGATGGCACACCGGTGATTTGGTGATGGGAATCCCATGGGGATTACAACTGAGATGGAAAAAAGGCACAAAATGATGTAAAAATAAACTATTACAATACCAAAAAAAATGATGGTATATCTATATAGTGGGATGATAGTCATGAAAATGATGTCAAATTTTATTTACTAATATAGAAAAGATACACAATTTATTAAGCTAGAAACAGTTATAAGTAGGCAATTGCAGTCTGACTTTCTCCTTTTTACTAGTTTCCCTTTCATGCTCTCCTTTTCATTAATATCGCCATCATTCTCTCTCATTTTCTTTGTCTGTCTCACACAAACACTTATGTGGAACAAGGAAAGAATGTTGGTTGGTCAGGAAGCATCTATGCCAGTTAACACCAGTTATGTCCTGGGTATAATAAATGCTTCTTAATTTATTTTTATACTATTTTGTATTTCCTGTAAACTTTTTTTACAATGCCCATGTATTATTATTAAAATTAATTATCTGTTTTGATAAAAAAAAATTCCTGAAAGATTCACTATCCCCTCATCATGGTGTTGATGTAGGATGAAATACTGATAAACAGAGACATTCTCTCATGGATTTAATAGTTGAAAAGTAAAAGAGATAACTGAATCTTCACCAAAGCAGCTTCATCTCACTCAGTGCTAGTTTTAAGTAATGTCCAAATATTTTAAAGTCCAAACGATCTTGAACTGAAATAAGTTCAAAATAGAACTAGGAATGCTTTCTTGATCTCAACTTCTAAAATTTTCACAAGACTACCTATTAATTTGTTCTCATATTCTGAAATGAAAGAAAAACTGAAAAAACTGTTAAATGGTAGTTTCCCTCTTTAAAACATGAAGATCTACCCAAACATTATTTTATTCTGTTGGCTTGGCAATCCTTATGAGATTATATGAACACTCTTCAATTCAGTAGCAGAAACATTCTTACGTGAATGGGAACTTGAAGTCATTTGGCTTGATGCAGCGCACATAGTGAGGGGTAGTAGCATTGAGGGTCTCCATAAGCAGGTGAAGGGAGTTTCGAAACTGCATGAACAAGAGCAAAAGAGGGCATCAGGGCTATCCAAGTCAAAGATGATATAAATAATTTAAAATTTTATTCCAGTGATATTAGTGAAGAGGATTGCCACCCATGAAGGCAAGTTGCTATTAAACAAGAGGGCCAGGGCTTTTGGTTAAAATTTGCTTAAATTCTACCATTTACATGCTTACTCTGTTAAACATAGTCACTCTCCATCTACCCCCCCTTAAAATAGACTTCCTTTTCTTTTTTCAAAGTATGTTTATTGAGATAACATTGATTTACAGACTTTATCTTCATAGAGCAGCCTTAAGTTACAGCAAAATTGAACAGGAAGTACAGAGACTTCCCATACATACCACCTACCCCCCACGTAACTACAGTCTCCCCCACAGCTAATGTACCAGAGTACATTTTTGAGTACATAATGTACATTTTTTCAACCTTTGACACAGTAAAATCATCCAAAGTACATACTTTACTTTGTAGTGCACTCTTCCTACCCTTTTAATATAGCTTCTTAGCTTTTTGCTGTGAACTCAGAATTTTTACTAAAAATAAAACCTAATTTTAAGAATATTAAGGTCATTTAATCATGTACAGTGGGAATTCTGCTTTAAATTGTGAAAAATGGGGGAGCAGATGATTTAAAAGAGCATAGGATTTGGGAGAATGGTGGGGTACTGCCGGGGTGGGGTTACCACTGGGGACACAGGATCAGGGGCTATGGCCATAGGTCAGGTCCTGCTTCCTGTCTGCCCTGGGCACAGGGTCCATGCACAGGAAAGCAATCTTACCTGGCATTGAACCTCCTGTCCCAAACCCCCTGTGCCCATTCAGGAGCTAAGTACATATGTGAAGTCTTTCCCACATCCCACAGAGCATAAGAAATCAAAGAAAGGAGAGGGTTATCCTGCACAGAAGGAGCTAATGCTCTGCACACTTACAGAGAGGAAACAACCAGAAAGCAAAGCAACAGCAGCAGAGGCCTGTGAGAGAGGAGATGTAGTACAAGCATTAAGTGGGAGGAAATTATTTTGGGAAAGGCTCAGTCAGAGTCACAGGTCTGAAGCTGGGTGGAGAGAGGTAGGAGTGCACAGTGTTCCATGTTCTCATGGAATGTGGCTCTCTCTGAAGCCTCCCCTCACGTAAGGAGCCCACTTGTGAAGATGAGACAGCAGACTTGAGGTGTCTCCTGAGCCAGAGCAAAAGAGTGCAGCAGGAATGGCTCCTTGGACTCACCTGAAGCCCCACTGTTTTCTTGTGCTCTTTGGCTGTCTGGCCTGGTCGGCCTTTGGTGGGCTTTGCAGAAAGGCGGGTAAGGGGTGTGCGCCCTGAAGTGGAGGCGGAGGTTGGGCTGATGGCCTTCTCGTCATCTTGAAATAATTCTGGTAGCATCTTAAACTGAGTCAGGAACAATAAAAGAAGATTACAGTCTAAACCCAAACTCAGTGGAAAACTTCACAGAAGAGTTATGGAGATAAGAAATCTGCAGTGATTCCCTCCCTCAAGTCACTTCTTTCAAAGTCACACTTTGGGAATAACAAATACCTGTTTGAATCAAAATTATTAAATGAAAGGAGTAAGTTCTATAAAAATATAAGCAGTGGAAAATACACTAATTTTATAATCATGTTTGAGAGAAGCAAAATCAAAACAAGTCCACCTGTGAAATCCTAATCCATAGGTAATGCCAATCTAAATATATTACCAGTTTTGAAATATACTTTATGAGCAAAATGTAAACTGGAAATTCCATCCATTATTCCATAGTCACAAAATGTTGTATCATTATCTTTCATTTGTGTACCTAAGAACTTAAATGGTGGGAAGCAACAAAAAATCACCTAAAATCTCAGCAGCAAGGGTGTCATGAACTAGTTCTACAATATTGTAAGACTAAACAATTATCATAAATTGATGTTTAGAAAATAGTTTGGATTAATGGAAACAAAATAAAAACCCTTTATCCTGTAAGCATTATATTTGTTTTCAAGGGACTTACAAACTTGACCACATAATTACTGTAATCAATTTTGCATCTCACCAGATAAACAATATGAGAAAAGCCTATTAAAGTGCTGGTACTTAATAAATGATTAGATGGTTGGGAGAAATTTTATGGAACAAAAAAGATTTCAAACTAATCTACAGTGGCATCTTGATATATTTATATCATTGTACCAGTGTTTCATTCTATATAAATACAATAAATCCTTCTCAATGGATTAAATTATGATTGTAACTGCCAATTAGTTGTCTAATAATTTCAGAATCTCTTCAGAAAAAATAATTTCTAGGAGAGTTCTTTCATTAAAAAACAAAATAAGGTGAGTTTATTTGTTATGTGTCTATCAATTATAAAAGTAATATAGAAAATAATGAATAATTTATATAAGACTGTTATGCACAACATACTAATAATCATTGCTTGACACACAAATGAATGTATCCCTTGCTTTACAGAATAAATAACCTAGTTTGGTTGAGTATAAGCAAGGGAAAACAAAATGTTTTGCTTTTACCTTGTATTACAATGTTGAAGGTTTGTTTCAAAGGGGAAAAGTAAGAGTTCATAATAAATTTGATCTGAAAACTCAGCACGGGATTAAGATGCTAGGCTATTCAATTATAGACCAAGTACTTTAAAATCTTATCTATGCTATTCTATCATTCCCAATTAAATTGCTAGCTCTATATGAACAATTGCCTAAACTTGCTTTCTTCTGTACAAAACAGTTAATAGAGCTGGGCTGCAATAGTCCTATTCACCACTAGGTGCTACAATTTAACTTACTACCTACCAGAAAACTGCTTAGGTTTCAGAGTTAGAAAACACACATGTGCGTGTATGTGCGGGTGTGTGTGTGTGTGTGTCTGCACCGCACATGTGCAAGATCTATACTTCTGATAAACTGCTTGCTAGAAAAATCATTACTATAATTTAGGAGCTAATGTTTAAATACTTAATATTTTATTGAATATATCCTGACTGGAAAAAGCCTAATGTGTTTACCTTGCTTGATTTAAGAACTTTAATTTGTTCTTCAAAAACAGTATCTTTATTCTTTTCCAGGAAGCCTTCACACTGGTATTCCACCTGAGAACAAATGGAAAAATCTTCTTAACTAATAAAACTTTTGAATAGATATGTATCATTACTATCAACCAAAATATTTATAGGCTAAGGCTGTAAGCCTGGCTCTTAGCAAAGCGGTATCACTAATTTTATTCTAAGAAACTAGTACCATTCTTGGTTATAAGTATGTTAACTCTAGAGTAAATCCCCAAATACTGTTCACCTTAGGGAATAGTGGCAGAGATGATTAACTGTTGTCTAAAGACCCGCCCAATTCATGAGCATGCAGACAAATGAGAAGTTGATTCTCTTCTCCCATGCTGGCCAAAGACAGCTCCTCCAAGGCTTCCCAAATATATCTCCTAACTTAGTTCACTATTTGGTAGAGGTAAATCTCCCCTTGGGAGAAAGGTGAATAAAACATGAGAAAGCATTAGAAGGAACAAATGTCTGTCAGAAATGTTGAAGAAATGATGATGGATGAAGGTGAAGGTTGGGTTAACATGATTTGGTAAACAGAACTACTTCAGATGGATTGTTCCTGCTTCCAAAAGTTTAGTGATCTCAGCTATCTTCAACTCAAGGATCCCCCCATTCTGTACTACAGAATTTCTGGGGCCCCTAAATTCATTTCTAGCTAGGATGAAGGCAGACTGAGAAAACCTTAAGGGGACACTGGAAAACGTACACTAAAACTACCTTACAACTTCCTTGAAATATAAATTAGTTTCTTGGCCCCTGATTTCTCAGTAGATGACAGAACTTGTAAAATAGCATGTCTATATGCCTTGTTAGTAGAGATCCAAGGACCAGTCACAGAGGAAGACACAATACCACAATTTCTATTCTGAAACCCTTGGGGTCAGCTGGCTTGAAAATTTAGAATCTTTCAAAAGACTCTGAGGTAGCAATTAGTAATCAAACACATTATCATTTCTACATCAAAATATATAAATATCCAACCTCTAACTAGGATAAATAACCTAGTAATACAAATAACTTCATGTTATTTCAGTTGAGAGATTAGGTTTAGTCATGAAACAAATTATGAAAAAACTTTTAAGAAATATAATTTATTGGACTTCAGAATTTTAATAAAGAATTATAGACCTATATTTATTTCATAATACAATTCCATTTTGGCTAAAGGAAGGGAAAACCAACCTGACAATATGAAGATTACTTTTCCTATATGGCCCTAAAGAATGCAAACTTCAACAAAGAAAAATGATACATCTTAACCATTGATATTTTTCCCTCTTTGAACTATTCAAAAGTAAAAAAGATAATAATGCTTCCTTACTTTGTCAGCAAAATGTTGAATGATGAAAGCTTTGTTTGAAAGACGGGGCTTCTCAAAGAGTGCACATTTGTTCAAATGTGTGTTGTATAGTTTTTGGGCCCAAGTGTCATCTGTACCTTTAGGCATCTATATTTAAGGAAGGAAAAAGAAAATAAATATTGACACAAGACTCTCCTGAAGCATTAACCAAGAGACCATTTTTTGGCTTTACCTAACAACTATTTTTTAAAGATTTATTTATTTATGCATACAGAGCTGGGGTACAGGCCAGAGGCTCAGGGGCGGTGAGAGGCTTCACCAGAGACAGAGTGCGGAGCAGAACAGGCAGATTGACGAAGTACACTGCTGAGGGGAGCAGCCGGCGGGTCAGGAGAGGTCTGCCACGCCATGTGGTCACCTCCGGGGCAGGCAGGAATCGAACTCATGCGGAAGTGGCTTTAGCTTCTCAGTGCAGTGCTTTAACCCGCTGCGCCACCAGGGAGGGCCTACCTAACAACTTTTATAGTCAATTTAGCGATTCCTTCCATCCAAATTTCCTTCTTACAGACCAAAACCAATTACTAATGAGAACTTCCCATGGTGACCGTGGTGACTAAGAGATTCAATGTGCCTACACCAAGAATCATCAGATACATATCTGATTTGATTTTAAAACAACAAAAGTCTTAAAAGTGAAAGGTGAAATACCATGACTGTGTGTACCTTCAAAATTTGTTAAATAGAGGTTGCATTTGCATATGAAATGAAATTTAGATCACTCAGGAAAATGTAAAATGGAGAGGAAAATGTAAAACTGCCAACTTCATTATGTCCTTGTGTACTTAAAGGCATGAACACAAACAGGATCATTCTACATAAAACAGGATCATTCTTCATAAAAATTTCATTTTATGCTCAATACACTTTCATTGGCCTTTTTACATATACACCTTGGATACTTTTACAAGTATATTCAAAGGGTAAACTATAAGAGTTCCTTTAGTGGGTCAAAAGGTGGAACTATTTACAATTCTACTAAACATAGCCAAATTTCCTCTAACATGTGATGTACTATCATTGAGATTTATATTAAATCAATACTCACTGGTATTAAGTGAAAGGTATCAAATTTAACCTCGTCTCTAACATGTAAAAAACAATATCCCATTTTTGTTGTGACTGGTGTTATTTAATTTTGAGTACCTTTTCCTTATATGCCTTTTTAATGTTGTAGAAAATCTGAATTAAGCTTAGGAGGATCAATCTATGGTAAATTGTCACTTATGGAATATAAAATAAAGAGAATTTAAGAAGGACAGATCACCTGCCTAAGATCACTAGCAGTAAAGCTGGTGATCTAACATTTTCCCCATTATCCTGGATCTTCAAATATTACATTTTAACTTCCCTCCCTCCCTATTATATGTATATATCAGCAATAAAGAACTATTCAGTTTTTAAATTATAGATATTTATACTTATAATTTAAAATAGACTTTATAGATTTCTTGGGTATCTTTAAATATAACTTATCATTGAACAAAAAGTACCAAATATAAGCTATTGCTAACAAAAGTGGCTAAAACTGGTAGTATACCCAATGTTAATTTTTTTTGTGTAACTTGAATCAGCTAAAAAGAGAAGGGGAAGCCTTATTTTATTTGAACTCTTTGGTTTTGGTGATCCTTCAGTAGGCAAATCAGAATGACCCCCACTTGTTGCCTTCATGGCATCTCATGGCATAACGAATTTCTGCTTTAAACCTATTTACTGCTAGACCTTGATGTATTTTTTTGATAGAGTAAGTACACCAGAAAATCATAGTTACCCTGCATTCCTCATCCAGCAAATCTAAAATGCCCAGTTTAGATTCTATAAGATTAATACAAGGTTGATTATCATAAAAATCTATGAGTGTCCATGGTATCTGTTCCTTCATATATTCCTCTTGTTCTAATTTGAAGACATGCTGGAAAAGAAAAAAAGGCTGGGATTACTAAAATCATTATTATGGCTATTAGTCAAGAAATAACACATATAAAAAACACTCTGAGACCAACATACTTTTAAATAATCCATGGCTTCCTGAAACAATTTTATGGGAAAGTCATGATTTACACAAAAGAAAATAAAAGAGAGCAAATAAAAAAATCCAGACAGTTAAATGCTCAGTTACAGTGATAAACAAGAAAATAGTAATGTGAATGTGTTTGAAGAGCTGATAAATGGAGCAGATTTTTAATTTTTTTGAGCAGTTATGCAAAGCAGATGCCCCAGACTACTAACCATGTTAGGTGGTGCTTACAGCGTAAGAAAGTAACTCTCATCACAGATGGTGGCACTGACGTTCATGTGTCTCAGAATTAGATAAATTGATCTTTTGTGTCTGCCTTGGTTATTTTCCACATTCAGGGAAATCCACAGATCAGCTTTCTAGATTCTACATGCAATTTTGCAAGTAGTAGCAACTACTACCAATCCATTGCTATTCCCGCTAAATGCTCCAATCACCATTCTCACCACTGCTTCTAATCTCATGCATTCATTTAAACATTTAAACAAAACCTGTATTGACTGTCTATTCTGTGTCAGTCACTGCATACCACGAGTTTGGAGACAAACAGGAGAAGTAGACAGAAATCAGATAATCACAAAGAACACAATTACAAACTGTAGTAAAGCTACAGAGGAACTCTGTGAATAAGCGTCCTTATCAAATTTGGAAAAGAAAGATGAGGGAAAGTTTCTCTGAGGAAGGACTGTGTGACTAGAACTCTGAGATGAATGGGTATTCCGTCAGTCCCAGTAGGAACACAAGGCACTACTGTAGCTATGGCATCAGGCAGCCCAGGCAATGCTGCTGGGCCCTCAACTTCTAGTCCCTATAGATGCTAACAACTTGTATTTGTGCATTCCTAGGGGTCTGTGCTCTCTTTTACTTGCCTCTTTTGTCTACCTTGATTTTCTCACATCTTGATACTTTTCTGGGAAGAATAGCCTTCTGTGGCTATGACCCGACAACCCTCAAACCCCCATGAAACTTAGATATCACCAAGATTTCTGGTAGATATTCTCCTCATGTACCTGGAACTTTCCCACTTAACTCTATACTTACTATAAAGCCCCTTTAAATCACTTACAGTGTTTACAGTGTATACTTCTGCAACAAGCTTTAGTGAAAAAAAAAAAGTCATCTGAATGAATATTTATATTATGCAAATTAGAAAGCCAATCTCTTCTGTTCTCTTTTGATTAATGAGACAGCAAACAGAACCATGTGTCAGCAGGATGCCCTGACTGATGGTACCAATATTTTCCAGGACACTGATCCCAGTCTTTTTTTAATTCATTAATTTATATTCAGTCTACATGCTGACAAGAAGCACTGCTCCAGATTTTACAAATAAGAGTTTGTTTCTTATACAAATCTCTATGTCTAGTTTAGAAAATTCCATGGGTCTCAAACATCTGGGAGGAACAATTGTCAAAAAGTCATTGTGGGAATAAGGTTTAATATGGTAAGAGACCCTCGGTCAACACAGAACGCCTCTCAATACTGACTATGCTGCTACCACCATATTTCTCATGCCCTCTGCCCCACCTATGTGTAACCCCTGTTGAAGAAGCAGGCCTAAATAGTGAAGGTCTTTACTGTGAGACCCATGTTCCTAGTCAAGGCTAACTAAACTGAGTATGGGTACTTGAGGGTATTCCATTACCTTTGATGAGGAAAAAAAAAGGAATTGATTTTATCAGATTCTCTGTATCAGGTATAAGAATTGGAAAATAAGGAAATAATCAAGAAATTGACTAAGGAAACTGAAACTGAAAGAAGTAAAGATTAATGGGAACTAAGCAAGATAAGATGGGAGGAGCAGTTTCATAGGAAGCTTGAAGTGAGTAAGGAAGCAGAAACCTTTAAATGATGAAAACATATACTGAGTAGAAGGGAAGAATATGGTCGCTCACGATTAGCTAACACATTTGTTGACATCTGATTTAAGAGGGAATAGAACATTTGTTCTTTAAAATTTTATATACTATGTATGCTTTTATCAAATTTATTTTCTTACATCATTGTTCATTTTCATACAGTGCTTGCCTTCTCCCCTCAGGTGTCATCCTCATAGTTCTCTTACCATCACTGCACCAAAATCCATCACCACAGGCCCTGTGGGATCCCCTCCCCTGTTTGACCCCTCTCCCGGACCCACTCTTTTGCTCTATGCCTCAGATCTATGGTCAGCTTATGAGTTTTGTCTTTTTCTTGACTTTTTGTTCAGTTTCCCCATATTCTGTAACTGAAACCACCCGTTAACTCTCTTTTTCTTCTGACTTACTTTGTTTGGCACTGTCCCTTCCAGCTCCATCCATGCTGCCACAAGTGACATAAGTTTATCTTTTCTGATTACTGAGTGATATTCTATGTGTATATGACCACATATTTTTGATCCATTCTTCTGTTTTAGGGCATTTGGGTTGTTTCTATAGCTAAGCTATTGTAAGTAGCTGCAATTAACATAAGTGTGCAAGTTTCCTTTTGAATTAGTGTCTTGTGTTCTTTAGGCAGATTCCTAGGAGTGGAATCACTGGATTATATCATAGACCCACTCTCAAAACATTCCCATTGCTTTTGTCTCAGTGAATGTCTCAGAGTGTTGAAAAAAGAATATGTAAAATAGAGTATCTAAAAATATAAATAAATGAGATGTGTTCTGATTTTTCTGTTCTAATATCTTGTTAACACTGCGATTAAGAGTTAAGAAAGTAACAATTCCACATACAATTAGCCACAGGAACAAAACTGAAGTATTTGGGTATCAAAGTTTTACACATCCATATATCTACCTAATATGTATCTTGTTTCTATTACTCATTTTATATGGCCCAATTTTCATTACTCTTAGATAGCCACCTAAGAATCACCATGATTCCTATCTAAACCATAGACATTTTTCTACTGTTGTATCATTTATTAATCATAAGTTTTTCCACAGTTTAGCCCTTTTAAACCCCAGATAATAATTGCAATTCATAAGTTCATTTCAGGAACCAAACTTTCAACACACACTGGTTGCTCAAGAAAAAAAAATTATAGCAGAATATTATTCATGGAAGAAAATTCTTACCATATTGAACTGTTGCTGTAGTTTTTCATTTGCATAATTTATGCAAAACTGTTCAAAACTATTTATCTCAAAAGTTTCAAATCTGTAAGGCCAAAAATAACATGGAAGGGGGTAAAAGAACAAAGAATTTTTTTTTTAATATTCAAAATGTAAACATTAGAAAGACATGTGAAATTTCCCAACACTGTAACCTTTCTATCTCAGTGAAGATAAAAGGCTTGTATGTCAGTAACATAGAATATGAACCCAGAGTCAGGCATCAGCCATGTGACAGAGAGATATTTTTAAAGCTCCAGTACATGGAGGTATTCAATATGAGTTTTCTTTTTTTGAAAGTCAACCATATTTTTAATTAAATTGGATGACATAACTTGCAAAAGACTACTGATACCGCATACTTTACTATTTTAAAAGCAAGTTATTTTATACAATATAATCTACACTTAAAAAATAAAGTTCCATATTTATTATTTAGATCATAAGGAACTCATGGATATATATTTCATACTTTGAGACATCATCTGATGTTAATTATTAGTTTCTCAAATTGCCAAGAGCTTTCCCATTTTTATTTAAGCTTTTGTTTTCTTTTTAAAGATTTTTTTTTTTAATATATCATTACATCATCCTTCATTTTGTACAATGTATGGTTTCCCCATGAAATTCCCACCACCAGCTCACCCATGCACCATTACAGTAGTCCCTTGTGCTCTTCCCACTCCTGTCCTGGTCCTTCTCCCTCCTCCTCCCCTACAGAATGTCTCTGATCTATAGTTGCCTGATGATTTTTATTTGTATTTTTTCATAGTTACTTTTTTTAAATTCCTTTTTTGTTTTCTCTAAAGTCCTCCTATAAGGGAGATTATTCAATACTGAGTTTTTGAGCGCTAATTCACCCATATATGGGGAAAAATCAGAACTATAATAAAGTCATTACACTCGTCAACTTATAGGCTCAACTTATATACACATAGAAAGGAACTGGAAATAATAATCTCATGCATTCTTTTGAAAAATTAAGCTGAAAGATAACAAATTAGGTATCAATGTGCACAAGTGATAGGAAGGATCTTAATAGTTAAAAGACTCAGGTACCCAGAGAAGGCAAAGCAGCAAGTGAAATTACTTTTAGAAATCATCTTCTAAGTTTCCTTTCTCTTTACTAGGAGGAAACAGATTCAAATACTCAGAATTATTAGATGCAGATCACTAACCCAAATACACCTACCCATAAATATCTAGTACGCCAATAAAAGAGTGCTGTTTGACAGCAGAATGGAGAGCTTGATTGACATGATCTACAATCCAGTTAAAGAGCTTGGCATAGATGTGCTTGGCCAAAGCATCTCGGGCATTTGTGGCCTGCAGTTTGGAGATGGGCTTGATGTATGTCTCTGTGGCAGTAGCTAGCTTCCGATGGCAGAGCCAATGACACATCTCTTCGTAGTCCACACCCATGAGGTCACAGAAGATGCTGAGCGGTTCATGCTTGGGCTGCCAAACAAGAATAGGTTATTTCTTTTGAACAAGATCAATCAAATTAATACTTCAGTTAAAAAAAATACTAAGAGGTAGCAAAACCCAGCCTTTCTTCACTATAAAAAACATCAACATTACTTGAAATGGATTGGCAACAACAATCGCAGTCACCCATCAAATCAGCCTCTAACTAACATTTACAATCTTTTCCAGGGTTCACATCAAACATTACCTCTTACTTTATCTCTTAGTAGTACTTAGTTGTGCTCTTTAGGCACATTCATTCATTCAATCAGAAATTTAGGCAGCTGGTCAACACATATTTACTGAGTGCTTTTATTATATTCTAATAAACAAAAATAGAAATGGTCCCTGTCCCCCTGGAGCTTAAGCTCACTAGGGAAAATGGATGTTAACCAATGTAAAAATTTTTCCCTCAAATGTAAAGGAGAAGGGCATAGTGGCAAGATTCCCCATGAGAGGAGTGTGTCCTCTCTACCTAGGCAGGAGGCCACTGCCTGGAGAAAAGAAGTTGAGATCTGAAGAATGAGAAGGTGTTAACTCAATGAAAGGGGGAGGAAAGGGCTTTTCAAGCTGAGGGAACAGCTAGTATGACAGTTCTATCATGGGAGAAGATCCAGAAAAATAAGGGACTGAAGCTGAATGAAGGAGAAAATGTACAAAATAAAGTCAGAGAGAAAGAGCTACACCATGGTGGTCTTCATTCTAAGATCACTAAGACTCCACTGCAGGAAGTTCAACAGTAAACTTGATAGTTATTTGTGTGACAACTTAGACTAGGCTCTCTTTTAAGGTTTTATATGTCCTCACAATGTCATCCATGGACCGTTTATGAGCAGGTCAGTAAATCCTTGTCAGTATACCATGTTTTTCAAAATATTGACTCACAGTTTCTAATCAAACTGATAATATTCTTGAAGAGTAGGCACGGTGAACATTGTTACCACTAATTAACAAATAAGGAAGTAAGATCCAAGAGATGAGCTTGTCAAAAATAACATGGCAATTAATGTCAGTTATCATTAGAACCTTGGTTCCCAAAATATTTCATCTCCTCACACTTTCCACTGAAGCAGTCATTCTTTCTTTCATTTACCAAGTAATTTCTTTCATTTCCCAAGTAATCACTTTAGATACAAATCAGTGTTATTGCCAAAAGCATGACTCAACCTCCTTAAAGTCACTTATTTCATGCGAGCCATTATCCTCTTGAATGGTTTACCATATTGTTCTACTAGATCAAGTTTCTTAACTGCTTTTGACCTCAAAGCCTACTATTAACTCATTTTTTTTTAATTTGAAAACTGGAGATTCACTTTTAGTTTGTTTGTACTATGGATTCTATCTTTAAGTCTAGATAGATGTCAGGCAACCATGAGGTAAAGAATTGTATTTGAATAGGTTCAGAGAAGTTACAAATTCACTCATCCAAAAAATTTGAGTATTCCTTCCTTTGCCGTTATTGTGCCAGCATTACTGATGCAGAGATGACATATCCCCAGGAGAGTAACATGATCACAAAAAGCAACAATGAGTAAATCTAGTCCAGGGTACAGCACTCTAAAGCTTTTATGGTAAGGAGGCTTGAACTTGCTGAAGTTGTAGCTCGCTTGCAGTGCTGCTCCCATTGTGCCACCAGGGAGGGCCCAAGAACTTGTTGAAGTTGTAAGACCTTGAGCAAACTCCCTGGCAGTGGCTGCTGAGCAGCAGTGGCCATCTGTCTCCCTAGGATAGTCCATTTGCAACTATTTATTTCTTATTTTGTGCTTTCATTTGTCCACTATTTCTAAAATTTTCTCTCCCTTTCTTGCTATGTTTGGATTATTTTTAGTTCACTCTCTTCTCTACTTATTTGGAAAGTTTATTTTCTATTCTAGTTTATAATAGAAACATTTTAATTATGTTAACTTAATGCAATAAAATACACTAATTAAATGTGCTTTGTTATCTAGTACTTTTATTCTTTTATTTCTGGGTAGAAGAGAAACTGGACTTTCACTTTTATTTTAAATTAATTTTATACTAACAAAAAAGTTGCAAGGATAGTGAAAAGAATTTCCTTCACCAGATTCCCCAAATGTTAATTTACCATATTTGTATCATTTTTTTCCTTACATATATATATGCACATTATGTTTTCAGGACCTTTGGAAAGTAAATTGCAGACATGGTCTCTTTTTAGTCCTAAGCATTACAGTGTTTCCTAAAAGCCAAAGACATCTTACATATTACAGTACAACAACAACAACAACAACAAATCAGAAAATTAGCATTGATTCAACCCTGTTATCTAACCTGCAGATCTAATCCAATTTTTGCTGATTGGCCTAAAAATGTCCTCTATAAAAAAAGGTATTTTTTTATGGTCCATGATCTAGGAATCACATTGCATTAGTCTCTTTTAAGGTGAACAGTTCTAACTCTTTTATGACCTTGACATTTTTGAGAGTATGGCCTTCAGTGTGCATTTATTCAATGTTGCACCCGCTAGATGTAGTAATATCTTTTTGCAGGAATACCAGTGAGATAATATAATATGCTCCTTGTGGGCCATACAGCAGAAGTTGACTGGTGGCAAATGGTCTCATCATTGGTAACATCAGTTGTGATCACCTGGTTAAGGGAATGTTTGCCAGGTTTCTCCATTTTAAAGGTAGCTATCCTCCCCTTTCACTAATAAGTGTTTTGTGGGGAACTCTGTATTTTCCACTCTAGCACATCAATCATTATTACTCTAATTAATCAAATTTTATGTACATTTGCCTGTACTATAGCAGTTTACTGAGTCATTTCTTTGTTGTATACTTTAAATCTTCCATTAGGATCACTTTCCTTTTGCTTAAACCTTATCATTTATTGGGATCGATTG